TCTTTGTTTCATTGATCCTTTGAATTGTTTTTTTGGTCTCCATGTCATTTATTTCTGCTCTGATCTTTACTATTTCCTTCCTTCTACTGGCTCTGGGATTTTCTTTTTGTTTGCTTTCGAATTCTTTAAGTTGTGAGGTTAGATAGTCTATTAGAAATTTTTCTTGTTTCTTAAGGTAGGCCTATAGTGCTATAAACTTCCCTCTCAGAACTGCTTTCGCTGCATCCCATAGATTTTGTGTTGTTGTGTGTTCATTTTCATTGGTTTCCAGGAAGTTTTTAATTTTTTTCTTGATATCCTTGGTAACCCATTCATTGTTTAATAACATGCTATTTAGCCTCCACGTGTTCAAATGTCTTTGCATGTTCTTGTTGCAATTGATTTCTAGATTCATGCCATTGTAATATGAGAAGATGCTTGATATGATTTCAGTCTTCTTGAACTTGTAGAGACTTAGTTTGTGTTTTATTAGTCCTTTTAAAGATACAACTTTGACTTGACAAATCTGTCACATTTGTTTTCAATTTCATTATTTTCAGGCTCTTATTTCATTATTTCCTCCATTTTAATTCCTTTAGATTCATTCTGTCATTTGTAGTCTAACTTTTTAAGAATGACTACCTTATTTTTTAGACTTTCTTCTTTCTTAAATAAACATTTAAGGCTATGAGTCTTCTTCCAGTTTATTTAGATACACTTTTGATGTATCTAAAAAATCTGAGGTCATTTTTGCTATCAATCAGTTCTAAGTATTTTCTGATAGTATTTTTTTTTTTTTACTCATGGATTATTTAAAAATGTGGTTTTCAACTTCCAAATAATGTTTTTTGTTATATTTCCAAAACTGAATTAATTTGTTTTCAAATCATAAAATATGGTATAAGATGTTCAGTCTTTAAAATTTGTTTAAAATGATCAGTTTTTCTGTTCTATTTGTACTTTCAAAAAATGGAAATTCTCCAGGTATTGATGCATATACATAGTCATTAAATCAACATTGATAATTATGTTGTTCTTATTGATCTGTCTTTTTTATCTAATAGTTATTTAAAATGTTTCAATCACTCCCACTATTTTTATGAATTTGTTCATTCTCTGCATAATAGTGCTATAAAATTTTACTTTATATATTATGAAACCATGTTATTAAATGCATACAAGTTTACAATTATTTTATTTTCCTAGTCAATACAATTCTTACAATATTCAATGATCCTCTTTATCTCTAGCCTAATGTCTGTTTGTATTATACTAATATAGTCTTATCACTTTCTTTATTTGCCTATGCATCTTTTTTTAACTTTCTGTGTCCCTATATCTCAAGTAAGTTCTTAAAATAAGTTTTTCAAAATGTGTTGTATTTTATTTTTAAAAACTTTTTTCTTTATTGATTTTAGAGAAAGAGGAAGAAAAAGGGAGAGAGATATAGAAATATTGATGAGAGAGAACATTGACTGGCCTCCTCCTGCATGCCCCCCACTGGGGATTGGGGCCACAACCTGGGCATGTGCACTGACCAGGAATCGAACCAGTGACCTCTTGGTGCATGGGTCAACGCTCAACCACTAAGCCACACAGGTTGGGCAAAATGTATTGTATTTTACAAAAAAACAGAACAAAAACAAACTCATAGATACAGACAAAGGTATGGCGGTTACCAGAGGGCAAGGGGTGGGGGAGGATGAAGGAATTAAAAGAGGTCAAATATATTGTGATGGAAGGAGACTAGACTGGGTACTGAGCACTGAAGGCAATATACAGAACATGTACAGGGATGGGCAAAAACAGGTTTACAATGTGAGTACATGAAACAGTTTATTCTTATATTATTATTTATTAATTAATTATTGTATTATTTTCCATACAAAGTGTAAACCTACTTTTGCCAACCCCTGGATTATAGAATTGTACACTTGAAACTTATAAAATGCTATTAACCAATGTTACTCCTTAAATTTAATTTAAAACATGTTTTTAAATCCTATCACCCCTCCTATGCTATTGTTGTAATATATTTTAATTCTATCTTGATATTTGTAACCCCCACGAATTCAACATTGTTACTAGTTTGCATATTCAGTGTTTATTTAGACTTATTGCACTGCCAGTTCTTTCATTTATCACTTCTTATATCTCAGATCTTACCTCTGGAATCATTTCTTCCTACCTGAAGTTCACTCAAGGATGTTCCTAGTAAGGATCTGTTGTTAGTAGAATCTGTTTTGTTTGCCTGGAGATGCATTTCACCTTCTTCTTGAAAAACAGTTTTTCCAGATATTAAATTCTCTTTTTTCTCAGCACTTTAAAAATATTATTAAACTGTGTTCTGATAACTGCTCTTGCTACTGGGAAGTTCTGTCATTCCAACTGCCATTCCATATGGGAAACTTGGTTCTTTGGGGCTACTTTTGCAATTTTTCTGAATTTGGTGTCCTTAAGTTTGACTATGATATATGTAGGCATGGACTGATATTTTTACAATTTTCTTTAGGTGTAATTGACTAATAAGCTGTACGTATGTAGAGTGTACAGTTGTGATGTTGACATATGTATTTATCCAGGAAATGGCAAGATTGAAGAATGAAAGCCAGCTATAGCATAATGAACAAACTTTCAGAGCCTAGTGCCTTGGGTTCAACAGTGGAGTGCAGAAGGCTTCTGGGGAGCCAAATACACTTCGTTTGGCATAACTCACCATATACAAATAACCTGAAATTACCTTCAACAAAAAAAAGAACTTTTAAAACGTGTAGAATCAGAACTTTTACATATTTTGACTCTATCCATAATAAAAATACAATTTTGATTTACCTACTTAAAAGAAGGCCCTGGCGAAGAGAACTTTGGAAAGATACTCCCATAATTCCCTGTTACTGTCCAACACAAACTTTCCCCAGTCACTGACTCTGGGACAGCCCACACGCCGCGCTGTTCTCACCTCCCAGCCTTTGCTCTTCTCCTAAGTGGCCCTTTCCCTGTGTTCGCTGCCTTGTCAATGTGGGCAGTCCCAGCTCTGCAGGAGCACCTTCAGTCATTCCAGCTCACGCCTGCTCTTCGGAGCTGGGTCTACATGATGCGCTCGTTATGTAATTAGAGAGTCTGCTACACTTGTGTTACTGTTTAGCAACTCTGTGTACTAATGTGGCCTGTTTCCCCAGTCACTAGAAGGGCCTTAAGGACAGGGATTCTAGGTCTGGAAGTTACATTTTCACTTTATCCTCCGCAGCACTTAGCACATGAACTAGTTCCCATAGCAGATACTTAACTCTTGTTTAACTGAATTTAATAAAAATCATTCATTCAATAAATGCTTTTGAGAGTCTATTAAACATCACCTCTTTAACATCACTGTTCTAGTTAACAGAATTCTTTCTTTAGCTGATGGAAGCTTAAGCTTTTCGATCCCGCTACTGAGTGACCAACAATAATTTTCACAAAAAGGCATGTTTCCTACCTCTTAAAAGAACCCCATACATGTGGCCACGCTGCCTCTCTCTGTAACTGATATCCATTTTGTTAAAATTTGGGAAGTTATAGAACAAGGTAATTACATATTGAAAATTTTAGATGTAGGCCACACTGATCAGGCAGAGACAAACACGGAACCTGAGAATTCAAGGAATTCTGTTTTAGTGACACCTTTTTTCATGCTACCCTGACTACATTCCCATTCTTCCTTTTAATCTACTGTAAATCTAATTTTTATTAGCTCCAGGTGACAGGAACTTCAGGCTCATTTAAGCCATCAGAAAGGCCAAAGTTAGTGCATTGGTTCTAACATCTTAGAACACTAAGAGAAAAGTTGTCCAGGAGGCTAAGTGTGTGAACATGGTAGGTACGGCCGGACCTGGTGAACTAGGTCACAGATCCAGTTGTTGCTCAGAGCACAAGCTTTGTTAGCCATTATTCTCATGTTTTCAAAACGAGAGATTTTTAATGTTAACTCTCTTCATTTAAAACGACAATGTTTACTCACTTTCATTCTTTTTGCCCAGCTCATTCTCCTCTACTTCACATGTAACCATTCTAATGTGCAGTGTTTTTATTGTGTGTCTGTTGTTTTGTGTGTATTTTACTTTATGTAAAAGTTATTGCATTATACACCTCTTTTTACTTTTTTTCTACACAGCACTATGTTTTTAAGATGCATTCATTTGCCTTCTTGTACATTTTGTTTATGACTTCTAACTACTACATATTTATCAAGGTATACCCCTTCATCACATTTTGTTTATCCACTCTCCCAGTAATAGACCTCTCCAACTCCTTACCCCAAATAACATTGTATTTTTTTAAAACACTGAGCAGGCCAAGAAATACTTGTGGATAGGGTGAATTTAGCTTTCAGACTGTCCCTTTGTTTATAATCTCTAATCTAATTCTTAAGCCACTAGGTTAATAGCAAAAGCAAGCCTACATTTCCCAGAGAGATGCTGACAGAGGCAGGTGCCACCTGCATATCATTGCTTTCTCACCCTTCAATCCATGAGGTGACTTTGTTCCAGCAAAGAAAGAGCGAGTGTTGACACAGTGGTACTGCATCTCTCTGAGTCATAGACATGCCTTTTCCAGGCTTAAGTCATCCCACATAGAAACTTCTTTCATCACATAGTTGAGGCAAGAAGCAAAATCAAGAAAGAGCACATAAGGAAAGGCAAGCTCTGTCTCTGAATGAAAACAAGCTTGTTTTAGAAATGCACTAGAAATCTGCTTCAGTCCAGAAGCCTTGCTCTCCACACTTGAATGAATCTCCCACTGCTGTTTTGGTTTTGTTTCCTGATTTGGTATCAGCCATCTCCGCCAGACCATTTCAGAGGCAAGCCTGGACCAAGGGGGCAAGCCAAGGAGAGAAACTAAGGAAAAGCGTTTTTTTTTAGTCCCTAGAAGAAAACAGCAAGAGCCTTCTAAGTGTAGAGGGGAATGACCACATTGATTAAGTAACTCCTTTGAGATTCAAAAAACAAGTTCAATTATCAGAAGATGAACCAAATCAAACATACCTGCATTCGCCACCAAAACCTTGGGCATGCGCTGGCGGTTCATCAGGAGTGGGAAGGGATCTCGCCCATTATTCCGTTCATGAACTTCTCGGATTTCGACCGTATCATCCATAAGATAGTAATGAATGATGTAGTTCCGACATTCACCAAACATGCTGTCTGTATCATCCCAGATTGCATAGAATCGAAGTACCTTTGAGAAATCCAAAGTATTGACTTAAATACGAGTTCTACAAGTAGAGAATTTAACTTAGCTACTTTGGCATTTATATATCAGACAATAAAGAAAAGAGTAGTCAGAAAGATGATGAAGCAATCTCAGATGACTTAAAAAAAAAAAAAAAAAGAAAGAAAGAAAGAAAAGAAATATTTACCAAACATACAAAAACATATTAATAGGCTTATAAATTTGTGCCAAGAAAGAATTCACTTTGATCCAAAATATTAGTCAGTGAAAGAGAAGATGAATTAAAAGAGCAATGGACCCTTTATACAGTGGTTAATGTGTGCTAATAAAGGTGCGTGTGAATGGTTTATATGTAATTAGTATAGAAAGAATTTTCATTTACTTATCAGTATTTTTTTAGTTTCATCAACACATATCTTCTAGTAACAGTATCAACAACACAATGTTTAAATACAAAATAATAACAGATAAACGACTGATACAAAAAACATCCTTAAAAGACTATGATAGTGCTCGGTAAAATTTTATGAACTAAAAGGAATTACATTTCTGAGAGAAGAAAAGCAGCAAAGAAGCACTGAGGGTGATCTGTTTTCTCTTTCCCTTTAGCACACAAAGGAAAACTGAAATCTGCTTCTACACACAAGCCCACAAAGAGGAGGACAGGAAGGCTGGAACAGAGTTGGAAAATACCCAGAACATTCTGTACTCATACATTAATATAAAATTTAACAAGAAGCATCTGCAATGGGACTTCTGTGAAATTACTATTTTAACATTAGAAACCTACCTATATGCAATAGCTTTGAAATTTCCCAGAAATTCATTTAAGGTTTCCCACAGGATTCTATGAAGTTAACTCACTATTAGGAAAGAAGTAGCCAGTTGGAAATGTAAAGTGGGAAGCAGATGTACCCCAGGGATGCTTTAAGAATTAAAAGTTTGGTGGAACTCACAAGACTTTTTCCACAATCTTCCTTGGATCTCTAATATGAAACTTACGCATTCCTATACCTCTAACTCTAGATGAAATCAGAAAAATAGCACTGTATCCACATGGTTACATTACAGATGTAATGTGCAAAACACACACCTACCAAAATAGCTTGCTAGTAAACACTGCCATGTTCGGAAACCAGTCAACTCACCGAGGTGCCCAGGTCACTTACTTGTTTGTCAAAGGTGAGAAACTGCTTAAGCTGATCAAAGTCCGATGGGGTGACATACTGATGAAGAGGTTGCTTCCGGAGTTCCGTGTAAGGATCGAGAGCCATCTTCTCAGGTGGATTTAATTCAATTCCTTGACTTTCCAAAAATTCCTAAATAATTCAAAAGTAATACTGATTAACTTTCTTGAAGCTTCTTAAACTATTATCTGATGGAGTAAAAATAAGTGTAATAATTTCTATACCACTGCCCAGGTTAACCATTAACTTGCAGCTTGAGCATGTCTTAGCAGTACTAAATCTCCAATGCAGATAATGACTGATAATTACCTTAAGTGTTCTACAGTATAAAATTGGTAGGCAACATGGTAAGCTCAAAATATGAACTCAGATCAATGAAATTTAGTTAGGTGCCAAAGCAGAGTTAAGTCCTGGGATTATTTACACACACAAATCTGAAACCTAACCATAGTTTCAAACAATATGAAATTTATATCAGGTATAGGGACCAACTGCACAATGGTAAAGGTAAGCTGAAATCAAATTTCCAACTTTCCAACTCATTTAAAACAAATATATGATTAAGTCTCCCCTGCAAAATAAGAAAAGAAAGCATACCCACTGCTTAGACCAGAAAATGTTTTAGCAAAGCAGGAAAGACAAATCAAATGTTCAAATCTCACCAGAACAAGTTAAGGAAAGCATTTGAACTTGACATAATTTTGAATTTTATTTTGCTAATTATAAATAAATATAATATGGACTTCCGGTCAAGATGGCGGCGTAGGTAAAGGCGGTATCGCGTCCTCCCACAACCACATCCAAGTTACAACTAAACTAAAGAACAATCATCATTCAAAACCACCTGAAATCAAGCTGAATGGAAGTCCTACAACTACGGAATTAAAGAAGCTGCTTCGAGACTGGTAGGAGGGGCCGGGGCGGAGGCGAGACAGCGGTGAGACGGGCTGGTCCCACACCCACATGTGGTGGATAAAAATCAGGAGGCTCCCGCGGCTGGGAAGGTCCTTCCTGAGGACTGAGGGGTCCCCGTCCCACACCAGGTGCCCCGCTCAGGGTTCCAGTGCCAGGAAGAGAATCCCCATAACTTCTGGCTGGAAAAACCAGCGGGAACTGAGGCTCAGGGAGGCTGAGGCGGCTGCAGCCCCAGGCAGCTCCTTAAAGGGACCGCGCACGGACTTGTCGGACTCTCTCCCTCTAAGCTCGGAGGGGAGGCAGCTCAAGAGGCACCAGAGACATATAGGGAAGAACTGAGCTGTTTGGCACTGGAGCAAGGGCTGGAGAGGGGGCTTTCTCTGGGACAAACGTGCTGTCAGAGGCCTTTGTTCCTTTGGTGAGCCCTTCCCTGGGATGACAGACAGTCCCCATATCTGGGACTCCAGCAACCTGGCTCACACTGGTAGCCCCGCCCTGGTGACTCCCTGAGGCCCCATCCCACCCAACTTTCAGGCCCACCCAAGCTGTTGGCACTTGCTTAACCATAGGATTGGCCTGTCTTGGATCCTGCTTCAGGTTTTTCCTAAATTTTTTCAAACGAGCAGCATCTGGTCTCAGCTAACCCTATACCGCTCGTTAAGTAATACACAGAAACAAACACAGGGAGGCAGCCAAAATGAAGAGACAAAGAAACAGGTCCCAAATGAAAGAACAGAACAAAACCCCAAGAAAAGAACTAAGCGAAATGGAGATAAGCAACCTAACAGATGCTGAGTTCAAAATACTGCTTATAAGGATGCTCAATGAACTCAGTGAGGGCCTCAAGAGCTTAAAAAAGGACCAGTCAGAAATGATCGATGCACAGTTAGAAACGAAGGAGGCTTTAACTGAAATAAAGAATAATTTACAAAGATTCAATAGTAGAGTAGGTAAATCCAAGAAGCAAACCATTGATTTGGAATATAAGGAAGCAAAAAAAGCCCAATCAGAACAGCAAAAAAGAAAAAGGAATAAAAAAGAAAAATGAGGATAGTGTGAGGAGCCTCTGGGACAACTTCAAGCGTGCCAACATTCGCATCTTGGGGGTGCCGGAAGGAGAAGAGAGAGAACAAGAAATCGAAAACCTCTTTGAAACAATAATGGCAGAAAACTTTCCTAACTTGGTGAAGGAAACAGACATATAAGTCCAGGAAGCACAGAGAGTCCCAAACAAGATGAACCCCAAGAGGCCCACACCAAGACACATCATCATCAAAATGCAAAAGGTTCAAGACAAAGAGAGAATCTTAAAAGCAGCAAGAGAAAGGCAGCTAGTTACCTACAAGGGAGTTCCCATAAGGCTGTCAGCTGATTTCTCAAAAGAAACTTTGCAGGCCAGAAGGGAGTGGCAAGAAATATTCAGAGTGATGAAAAGCAAGAACCTACAACCAAGATTACTCTATCCTGCAAACCTGTCCTTTAGAATCGATGGCCATATAAAGAGTTTCCCAGACAAGAAAAAGTTAAAGGAGTTCATCACCACCAAACCGTTATTATATGAAATGATGAAGGGTCTTTTTGAAGAAAAAGATAAAATATATGAATAAACAAAATGGCAGTGAATACATATCTATCAACAATGGAATCTACAAACAAAATAAACAGGTAGAACAGAAACATTCTCATAGATACAGAGAACATTTTGTTGGTTGCCAGATGGGGGGGGAGGGGTTGGGGGAATAGGTGAAAAAGGTGAAGGGATTAAGAAGTACAAATTCGCCCTGGCCAGTTTGGCTCAGGGGTTAGAGCGTCGGCCTGTGATCCGGAGAGACCCGGGTTCGGTTCCCGCTAAGGGCATGTACTTCGGTTGCAGTTTGTCCCCGGCCCTGGTTGGTCGTGCGGGTGGCAGCCACACGATGTGTCCCTTCACATCGATGTTTCTCACTCTCTCTCCCTTCTTCTCTCTCCCTCCCACTCTATCTGTGCAAAAAATGGAAAAATATCCTCGGGTGAGGATAAAAAAAGATTAAAAAAAAAAAGAAGTACAAATTCATTGCTAGACTGACAAACCTCAAAGGGAAAGGGGTTGGGGGGGGGGGCGGGAAGAAATAAATCAAAGAACTTATATGCATAACAATGGACAGAGACAATAGTGTGGGAAAAGGCGGGAGGGGGGCGGGAGTGGGGAGGAAGGGGTCAATGGGGGAAAAATGTGGAACATCTGTAATACATTCTACATTCAACAATAAAGATTTAAAAAAAATAAATAAATAAATATAATATTATTTTTATAGTCATTATATCTTTTAATATAACTTGACATTTCTTCTTAAAAGCACCACAAGGAACTATACTTATTTAGTAATCAGAAAAGAACAATTTCATGGGATCTGTTTACATTCTGGAACTGGAAATTAACCTGCAATCTGGGTTTCTTTGGGGAATTGTGTGGTTTACTTTTGGAGAATTTAATAGAAAATATATAGAACTCAGGACCAAAATATTTGAGTTCTAGTATTAGCTTTGTTGCTAACCACCTTGTGATCTTAGTATTTAAAGTTTATTAGGCAGTCTCTAATATCCTTTTAATATTAAAATATAAATTTTTTTTTTTTTTTTTTGTACGTGCCCCTAGAGGGAACTGAGCCTGGGACTCTCTGGTCCGCAGGCTGACACTCCAACCACTGAGCCAAACTGGCCTGGGCTTAAAATATTGATTTTTAATGTCTATTAAAACTACTGACCTGGAGAAAATGACTAGCAGTAATTCTCCTCTCCCTTGAGATGATGTATTGGTGTAGCAGGATTACTGCCGGAGGTATTTAATGGGTGTTTAATAATTTCTTTTGCTTTCAGAAGATAACCAGGTCCTTTGTTAACCTTACCTTAAGGATTTGGGCAGGAACACAGAAGCTTTCTGAGGTTGACTATTTTTCCTGTCTCCTAAATAAAGCTACAGAAGACATTTTTCCATTTTTGTTCAGATAGGGAGGGAGAGAAAGAGAAACATCAACGTGAAAGAAACACATTGAGTGGCTGCCTTCCGCACAACCCTAACCGGGGCCAGGGACAAACTGTAATAGAGGTACGTGCCCTTAGCGGGAACCGAACCCGGGTCTCTCTGGACCACAGGCCGACACTCCAACCATTGAGCCAAACCGGTCAGGGCAAAGCTGGAACCCTTTGAAGAGATTATTCTAAAGTGTCCCATAGGGTGGGGAGAGAAGGGAATGTCTTTGAAGGCAAGAGGAGAGAAAGGGGAAATTCCTCCAGACTGGAAAACAGACACAGGTTGGTGGGGCTCAGAAGACCAAGACTCTACATGTGATCTCTAGGGGTGCTCCGGTCTCTGAGCACACGTGCAGCTAGTCGGTACATCGGTCTCAAGCATTCGGAGTCCCAGTGTCTCACCTAGCACCAAACACCAGGGTGGTGTCCTTGGTCACTGGACAATCTGTGAGCGCTGCCTATATAAATCCTTTAGGTCTGGAGCGCATCCTTGTTCTTAGGGCTTGGAATCTTTGTCAAAGCTGAGGGTGAATAAAAATATGAGCTCAGCCAACTGGGGCTCAAGTAGGTTTTAAGTCATTTTTAAAAATGATATTTTTGCACACCTACATTTGTGGAGTAGGATTCTGGTTTACTAGCAGTAATACTTTAGTGAGGATAATAAATTCCAGACCTCTGATTTCAGGAGATTTATTTTTTTATTTTTTTATCCTCACCCAAGGGTATTTTTCCATTTATGTTCAGATTGAGTGGGAGGGAGAAAGAGAGAGAGAAACACTGATGTGAGAGAGACACGACTGGTTGCCTCCCGCACGACCCTGACCAGGGCTGGGGACCAAACCGCAGCTGAGGTACATGCCCTTAACTGTAATCAAACCCGTGACTCTTTGGTCCTCAGGCCGACGCTCTAACTGTTGAACCAAACCATCCAGGGCTAGAGATTTATTTTTTAATGCATCAAGTCCATTCTGTCCACAGGACCAACATTTATTTGGAGTAATGAGGAAAGGGTAAAGAGGATGGTGGTGGTAGTGAAATGCTTAAGAGAGGCAGTTCTTTGTTCAAGTCACACACTAAAGACAGCTGTCTTCTTTATTCACTCTTAGGTCCAGCCCTAATGAAAACCATCACATTAGATGAGATGTGCATACATTTTAAACTGTTAAAGGAGCTAACTTCTAACCTAACATCAATTATTGAAAACATAATTCAATCTAGTCATCAGTGCCTGAAATAAACAGGTCTGGTCTATTATCAGTCATTAAGATACAGTTGATCCTCATTACTCACTAGTTCACCTACTTCCTAAAGCTTGTTGGTAAGCCTCAAATCAGTGCTCACGGGGCTTCTGCCGTTCTTCGCAGATATGCACAAAGTCATGGGCATTTGAGTTGCCTAATGCGTACCTGCCTACCTGAGGTTGAACTAGGTGACATTCTACCATGTTTCAGCTTTTGTACTGAAAAAGTATCCTTTTGCAGTCTATTTAGTGCCATTTTTCTCACCTTACGCTTTTTCTTGGTGATTTTGCTGTTTAAAATGGCCCCAACCCCAGTGCTGAGGTGCTGTCCCATCATGAAAGAAGTCTGTGATGTGTACTTAATGTCACAAAACTATACATCTAAAAATTGTTAAAGTGATAAATTTTATGTGATGTATATTTCACCACAATTTTTTAAAAAGGCAGGTTGATGTCCCTGAAGGAGGACATATGTGTGTTAGATAAGCTTCATTCAGGCATGAGTTACAGTGCTGTGCCATGAATTCAGTGTTAATGAATCAACAGTATATTTTAAATATAACATCTTGACACAGAAACAAACATAGAACAGGTTATGTATTGACTGGATGATGAAAACGGTGTGACCAGAGATTAGCAGGAACCTGCCCCTGTATTTCTCCTCGGAGCAATGGTGTAGTGTTTGCGGCAACTTTATGGAACAGAACTAACGTGAGTAATAAGAACTGACTGTAACTGGTTTAGATCAACTGCTCGGTGATCAACTTTCAAGTGTTCAAACTGTCCATAGACAGAATATTAAAAATAATTTTAATACCTCAACTTAATATTTTATAATTTCTCATTGCTGGTACGATTCTGAAACTGCTTATGATTAAAAAGACCTAAAAAACACCTGTCTAGGCCCTGGCCAGTTTGGCTCAGCGGTTAGAGCATCGGTCTGCGATCCAGAGAGACAGGGGTTCGGTTCCCGCTAAGGGTACGTACCTCGGTTGCAGTTTGTCCCCAGCCCTGGTTGGTCATGCGGGTGGCAGCCACTCGATGTGTCCCTTTCACACTGATGTTTCTCTCTCTCTCTCTTCCTCTCCCTCCCTCCCACTCTATCTGAACAAAAAAATGGAAAAGTGTCCTTGGGTAAGGATAAAAAAAAACACCTGGCCAGTGTGGCTCAGTGGTTGAGCATCAACCCATGCACCAAGAGGTTGCCAGTTCAATTCCCGGTCAGGGCACATGCCCAGGTTGTGGGCCTGATCCCCAGGGGGGACATGCAGGAGGTGGCCAATCGATGTTCTCTCTCATCAATGTTTCTACCTCTCCCTCTTCCTTCGTATCTCTACAAAAAAAAATAATAATAATGAAAATTATTATTTTAATAAATACTAAATTAAAAAAAAATAAATGAGTGACTTCATAGAAGCTCAATGCATGGAAAAATTAATCTCATCTGGCATTAGGTAACATGAAACAAAAGGTATGAAATAATTAAGAAACTATCTTTGCTTCTAGAAAAATTTTTAACTAAGACAAATTTGGAATTGCCTATTACCTATATTTTGTGCTTTAAAAAAAAGGTCTCTCTCTCTCTCTCTCTTAAAGGTAAAAAAATCCCTATTTATGAAAAAGAGAAAGTAGAGGATTTTTGTCAATATAAAAAAAGTGTTTTCCTTTACAAATGTATTTCAGGAATTCTTTAGACAGCAAGTTTCCCTATTATATAGCAAGTATGATTTAAAAAAAAAAAAAAATGTAAATTACACAAAAAAATGTTAGGCTCATAACCACATCTGCTTGTAGAGGTTGTACGTTTCTGTGAACTCTAACTTCAGGTAAGTTGTCCAATGCCTGTTTCACATTCCCGCCCCATCGAGGGTGCCCCTCCCTTCCTCTCCATCTGAACTGGCATGTGAACCAGTTCCTTATCAAATGAGTCAGCTATGATGGAAGTTTAATTTTATTTGAATAGCTATGTATCAGTATATCACTGCATAGTTTTTGCACATATCAGCACATATACAAATACTAAAAAAAACCTATATAATAATCCATATGGACAAGGGTGTCTCACTCTAATAAGTGAAACATCCTTCCATAAGGAATGCCTCCGACACAGCCTCCAAAGCTATATACTATACCTGTGTGAATCGGTCACATTCAACAATGTGGAAAGTTTTGCCATAAATTGTGATGTTTATCCCTCGATTTAGGTCTTTCCAGTGGTAATGGTCTCCGCGGTCATTTTTGGGTAGGCGCTGGCGTTTGATCAACTTGCCTTGAAGGATCCCAGAGTTTTCCACAGTGGGCTCCATGACTGACATGCTGTCATCTTCTAGGAAGTAGTAAATGTTCACCTGACGAATCCTATAATGTTCTTCAGTTGACATAGAAACATCTTCTTGGAAATAGGCATCAAACCTCAGCACCTATAACACAAGGGAAGAAGAAACAGTGTGTATTAGTTTCTCATCAAAAAAATATCAAGTACCCTCCTGTAAAGAGAACCACTCAGGGAGATTTGAATATTAATTACTCCTATCTTCTAAATCAAAGATTGCCAAATTATGGTCCACGGGACAAATCTACCCGTCACCTGCTTTTGTATACAAGCTATGAATTTTTTTTACATATTTTGATGGTTAGAAAAACAATCAACAGAATAAAATTTCACAACACATGGAAATTATATAAAATTCAAATTTCAGTATCCACAAGTAAAGTAATTACATATATAATTAACACTTATTTGCTAATGGCTGCTTTCCCATTACATATCATGGCAGAGTTGTGAGTAGTTGTGATAGAGACCATTTGGGCTGCTGTTAGGGTCTGAATTGTGTCCCCCCCCCCCCCAAAAAAAAAAATTCATATTGAAGCCTTAACCCTCTATGTGACTATATACAGAGATAGGGTCTTTACGAGGTAATTAAGCTTAAATGAGGTCCGAAGGGTGGGTCCCTAACCCAATGGAAATAACGGCATTCTCTCTCACCACACAGGGAGGAAAGGCCATGTGAGGACACAGCAAGAAGGCCGCTGTCTGAAAGTCAGGAAAAGAGACCAGAAACCAAATCAGCAGGAAGCTTGACCTTGATCTTCTAGTCCCCAGAACAGTAAGAAAATAAAGTTCTACTGTTTAAGCCACCAGTCTGTGGTATTTTATCACAGCAGTTCAAGCAAACCAAGACAGCTGCAAAACCCAAAATATTTTCCATGGGCCTGATACAGAAAGAGTTTGCTGACCTCTGCTTTAAATGCTCAAACTATGTGTAGACATCTACTACCATGTTCCTTGATGAGATGGCTTAAAGATCTTAACTCTACTGGCTTCACATCCATGTCAAAGATCCCTCTAAGAATTTTTGGAAAGAGTAAGAAATTTGTACAAGACTATGCCTTTTGGTTTCAAAATGAAAATAAAGGTTCAAGTCAATTTCTTTAGAAGTGGAGCCCCTCGTAAATGCATAGTGATGACATATTCATTAGAAACTTCACATGAATAACTCTCAATCATCAATCCACCACAGAATCTATCATGGGTGGCACGTAAATTGTGCTGAGAAATATATATGAGAGAGCAAACCCTAGGGCCTCTGGAGAGCATCAGAATCGGTGAGAAGTCAAAATGGCCTATCTATTGTACATTTAAAAAACATTAAAAATATTATAAAAAGCTTATGTTGGCATGCTTTGGGATTAATTTTTTTTAATTTCTGTTTCTTTTTTTTAACTTTTTTTCTTTATTGATATATTAGAGAGACAGAGGAAAGGAGAAGGAAACATTGATGAGAGAGAACATCGACTGGCCGCCTCCTGCATGCCCCCCACTGGGGATCGGGCCCACAACCTGGGCATGTGCCCTGACTGGGATCAAACCGGCAACCTTTTGGTGCATGGGTCAACACTCAACCACTGAGCCAGACTGGCCAGACTATTTCTATTTTTAATATTTCTTTTCAGGAAGAGAAAGTATTAGAATGATGTTTTAGGTAGGCAAGTGCTAACCCAAACCTCTAGGAGAATAAGAGCAACAAAACAAAAAGACACTTTAGTAAAGACACACATATGGCTCAATGAATAAAAAAGATAAAATAATTTCATACATGAGTACTGTGTCAAAAAGGTACAGAGTCCACTGTGGAAGAACAAGATAGAAACCAAACGAGAACAGGCAACTTCACAGGAGAAACATGAGTATCATGGAGTGAAGGCCTTAAAACTCATAATAAAAGGATTAAATGGGTTAATGTAATAAAATGTTTAAAGGAAAAAATATGGGAAAAGAAAAATATAACAGTCATTTTAAAGTAACATTTTAGATCAACTTCAAAGAACTGAAATGGGGATGCGGTCACTTCAGTGGGGACAGGATCAGCAATTCGTGTATGAAATGGTCTGTATCTGAGCTGCAGATTTAGAAATACACAAAACATTAGAGCCAGACACAGCCAGCTATTCAAACGTTCCTCATTTCACAAAGGAGGAAACTGAGACTTGGGGTGGAAGAGTGGCTTGTCTGAGGCCACAAAGGAGGTTAGGGGCACAGCTGGGATGGAAGCCCAGTCTGTAAACTCAAAGCCCAGCGTTCTCTCCATACACCTCACTGCGTCTTAGACAGCAGGTGCTATAGTGGTCCAGAAGAGAGATCTGTGTGAGCTGAAGTGGTCAGAGAACTTTTAAGAGGAAGGGACAAGGGTGGATTCCAGCAACAGCAGTGGAGGAAGGAAGCCCAGCAGCAGTATGATGGAGGAGGAAGGAGCCAGGCATGACGATCAGTCTGCAAGGCCCTCCAACAGTCCAGGTCTACAGTAATAAATGCCCAGCAATGCAAAAACAGAGAGGCTGACTGCATTGGAAGTAGGAGGATGGAAGCTAGATGAGGTACTAAGAAAGTACAGTGCTAAGCCTATAGTGATGATTCTCATAGAAATGGAAACATTAAGAAGATAATTTGGGGCAGATGGTGAGCTAGATTTTAGACTTGCTGAGTTTAACTTGATATTGCAAGGGATAATTTGGGATGCAGGACTGGGTCTGGGAAAGAAATCAATATTAGAGAAAGATCAGGATAACTCAAACATTTTGACCCGAGCAAATGAAAGGACAAAATTGCTGTCATATTGATAAGGGAAGGCTGTAGTGGAGCGGATTTGGGGGGTGGGGAGACAAATCGGGAGTTAAGCCTTGAACATGTTTAGTTTAAGATGTCTATTAAACATTAAAGAGGAGATGTTAAATAGGCAATTACAAATTCAGGGCACAGCACATCATCATGTAAAGAACATTTCAAGCCATGAGTCTGGACCAAAAGAAGGAGCACAGACAGAGAAGAAGACCAAAGACTGAGCCCTATGGCACACTCACGTTCCTATGCAGTCTGTTTTCTAAGACTGGAAGGATGAAATGCCTTTGGCAACAGGAATTTGCCCTTAGAATGATAGGCAGGGAGGAAATACACGCACGTACACACTTTAAAGATTAAAATAACCAGAATTTCTTATATTCTATTTAAACATGTTTAAACGATATACATTATTTAAAAACAAATCTTCTAGACCATGCCATGTGATAACTACAAATGAACCCTAACCTATCTTTATGCATCGACAGCAGTGAATTGTGACCACATGATCATTTTTCAAAATCTAAACAATTCCTTTTGAAGCAAAAAGAAAAATTAAATAAGGTACAGGTCAGTTTTCGCTTTATATTCATTTTGGTACATTCAGATTGTATATTTAAAAGAAATCACTGATTACGTATACTTGGTATATTTGGTACTAATTGAAGAAATTGATTATTCAGTTAATTGGGGCACGCAATTCTTAAGATCTCTGGTTATTTGAGAGTTTGTTTTCCGACATAAATGGAGAGTGGTCAAAATTTTACCGAGTAAAACATCCCCTAGGAGTGTTTTCTGTCTTTACATTCATCTCTGATCACTTAACGTGGATCAGTTTGTCCAATAAACATCTGGGTTTCCTCTGGCATATGATCTATACATATAGCTAAAACTACATGTTTTCACTGTGTGATTCATGTTACAGAAAAGTCTTGGGTAAATAATACTTTAACCCTTAAAGTACTTATTTATTTGACTATTCATCAATAAAGCACTTATTTATTTATTTATTACAAATAGAGTCAAGAGTTCTATGCTCATCCCATGAAGAAATGCCTGGGAAAGCTCTTTATAAAGTAGTTAGGATAACATCAGCTTTTCCAGGTAGAATAAGATCTTAATGTGTTATGTTGAAAGGAAAAAAAAATATTTAGACACTGTTTAAAAATGTACTTTTCATGGAATTTTCAGCAGGATGGACTCCTAGTTATCATGTATTATAACCTAATTTTATAAAGAGGAAACCAGAGAATGTGACTCCTTAGGGTCACAACACTAGTTGGTAGAAGACCTAGAATTAGTTACCATGTCTCCTAACACCCAGGAAGTACTCAGAATGCCATAATAAACATGGAGATATTTGCAATTACTTCAAGACTGAAGAGAAAAATGCTGAATAAATATTTTCATATCACATACAATTATGAAAAGCCTAGGCACTTTTTATCATTTTCATTTTACTCCATCATACATGTGGGTTGCATGATAAGCTTCCCTATTTTCAGCAGTGACACAGATGATGTTAATCTTACTTATTAAAAAATAATTCATCTCATGTTTTATTTATTTATTTATTTATTTATTTATTTATTTATTTATTTATTGTTTATCCTCACCCGAGGACATTTTTGCATTTACCTTGAGATGGAGCGGGAGGGACAGTGGGAGGAAGAAAAAGAGAAACCTGAACATGAGAGAGACACACTGAGTGGCTGCCACCCACACAACCTCAACCGGAGCCGGGGACAAACTGCAACTGAGGTACGTGCTCTTAGCAGGAACCGAACCTGGGCCTCGCTGGTCCGCAGGCCAACGCTCTAACCGCTGAGACAAACTGGCCAGGGCCATCTCATTTTTTAAACTAATATTTATTGAGTACCAATCACAGGAAAGCTAGTCTAGAAAGGGGAACAGCATATGAGAAGACCCTGTAATGGGTGGGGTAGGGGGCGGGAGGGAGGGGCGTGTTACAGTTTCAAGAGAATAAAAAAAAATAACCTACTGTGATTGAAGCACAGGGTGTAAGAAAAAGGTAGGCCCGAGAGGAGGTTGGAGAAACAGAAGGGAGGGCCAGACCCAGTAGGACTGTGAGGAACCTGGAGAGTTGGATCTCTGTTTACACACTGGGAAAGTCATGAAAATGTTTTAGGTCAGTATATGACATAATCTGACATCCATTTTTAAAAGTAAGTCTGGCTGCTCTGTGGAAGATGAACTGTAGTAATAGAGGTGGAAGTAAATGAACAAATTAGTTATATATTTTAGAGATGGAAATGACAGAGCTTGCTAAGACTGCAATTGGGTTGTGAGGGAAAGGAAGAGTTCAAGAGTGACTTGCAGGTTGAGGGACTGCAGTAGCTGGGTAGACAGTGGTAACATTTGCTGTACTGGTTAAGAGAGTCTAATGGCATTTTCACAGAAAAATCACGTAATGTGCTTTGGGGAATAAACCAGGCACTGGACATGTTCTGAGTATAAAAACAAGTGTAGGACTAATACAACAGTCAACAATATGTTAAGAGTTAACATATTGTTTGTTTGAACAGGAGAATGGTAGAGGAAATGGAAGTGAGAGATATTGACTTGGCAACTTGAGTGGGAAGAAAAGCCAAAATGGCTTGGGTGAGATGCTTTGATTACCTAGTGGGCCAAACAAAGAACACATCTATGAGAAAGGGCGATGACCTGGGGGGTAAGGACATACGGAACCCGCGGTGCCAACAGCTCATCCAGGTGAAGATATCCCATGGCAGTTTCAAAAAGTCAGAATTGGAAATATTGACAGTTGTATGCATTGAGATGACAGTTGAAACCACAAAAGTGGGTGAGATCTCTGAAGGAAATAAAATAAAGAATGAAAACTGACCCTTTAAAATGTTTACAGTTAAGGCCCTGGCCAGTTTGGCTCACTGGTTAGAGCATCGGACTGTGGACTAATGAGTTATGGGTTCGATTCTGGTCAAGGAAACGTACCACAGTTGCGGTTCATCCCCAGCTCTGGTCGGTATTGTGAAGGGCGCAACCAGTCGATGTGTCCCTCTCATGTTCATGTTTTGCTCTCTCTCCCTCCCACTCTATTTGAAGATAAATAGAAAAATATCCTCAGGTGAGAATTAAAAATAAATAAATAAAATAAAATGCTACAGTTAAAAACGAAAAGAGAAAGGGAGCCCAGAGTAGGAGCAATGAGAGAGAGAGAGAGAGAGAGAGAGAGAGAGAGAGAGAGAGAGAGAGAGAACCAGAAGAGTAAAGAGTCAGTGGAGCAAAAGAAAAGCAAAGTTTCTAGAAGGAAGAGAGGGTCCACAATGGCAAATATTGCAAATAGGTCAAAGAGAATGGTGGTAAAACAAACAAACAAACAAAACTGTTCTGGGCTGGAGGGCAGAGAGAAGTGAAATCATAAGTGATCAATCTGACAGTCAGTGAGAGAGGAAGTTGCCTGAAGGGGTCACAAGGCAGAAAGGTTTTCAGGATGGGATAATATGACCCTAGGTAAAGAAGTGCTTACTAGCTGTTTGAAATGGAAGTCGTATGAAAGTTAAAGATAAAAAAAGATGAAAGAAGAATAACATCAGGAACACAGAGTGGGCCACGAGTCTGGGAAGTAGAATATAGTGGGTGACGATGAGGATTGCATGGGAGCAAATAGAAAAGGTAAGGGCGCTCACAGCGGATGTCCTGGTCATTGTCACCTGTGTAAGGAATGAAGTTATACTCTGAAGATGAGGGACTGTACGAAGAATCTCCAAAATATGGACAAATATGTTGGCTATTAAGTAGACTATGCATATTCTTAAAATAATTTTAAACATATTTAATTCAGAAAAACTATAATTCCCCAAAAAAATCTTAGTTTCAAAACCATGTATTTAACTACTCTCTACCTTACTGTCTATGGTAAGGACCTATCTAGACATTTTGATGATCCAAGCAAAATGAATAAAAAAATTAAAATGTAAGTCTACCTATTCATGCCCACTATCTTTTAAAAATGAATTATCAAGACTGTTTTAAAAGCATAAATTAAATAGTGACAATAGCACAAAATAACATAGAAAAACAAAAAAGAAGAAGCCTATTTCCTATTCAGGCACAATCTCTCCCTCTCTGCATTTCATTAATACTTTCTTATGATAGATATGACTCTATCACTTTCTAGTTTATAATAGTTATTTGCTATTTTTTCAATAAAAATTGAACTGACCAGGATTGATATCTTGATAAACTGTAAAATACCTATCCCACTCTTCTCTTGTATTTTCTCCCCTCTCCCTTATCTACTGATTTTGCAGTACCTATCACAGCTGAGAATAAAGAAGAGAAATAAGAAAAAATCCAACTGTATAACTGATACCACTTAGTGGATGTTTAGGTTTAGCATATGAATGGATAAATGAATTGTTCCTATCAAATGTGTTAACGAAGTGAGGAAGAAGGGATTATATGGATTCTGACTGATACATTAAAAATTGTTTAAATTAAGTGATTATTAATGTAAATAGCACAGTTCTACCACCATATTTGTTTAAATAAAGGATTTCTTTACCTTTAAATATGCTTTTTATTGATTTTCTTTTTTAAGAGAGAGAGGAAGGGAGAGAGAAGTAGAAACACTGATGTGAAAGAGAAACATCAACTGGCCACATCCTGCACTCCCCCCACTGGGGATTGAGCCCACAACTCAGGCGTGTGCCCTGACCAGGAATCGAATCAGGACCTCTCAGTCCATGGGAGGACACATAATCCACTAAGCCACACTGGCCAGGTGGATTCCTTGACTTAAAAAAAAGTTCTTATTGATATTTTAGAAGGAAAGAGAGAAAACATTGATTCGAGAGAGAAACATCAATCGGTTGCTCCCACTCACACCCCAACTAGGGACTGCAACTTGAACATGTACCCTGACCAGAAATCAAACCGGTGACCTTTCAGTGCACGGGATGACGCTCAACCAACTGAGCCACACCAGCCAGGGCCACCAGATTATTTTGTATCTTCCAGCCTCCAGCTTCAATAGGTACTCAATAAAGGTAGACTAGCTAGATGAAAATGGTATAGGCATTGAACAAAACTAATGAAATTAAAAGAAAAAAGAAAATAAGCTAGGAGTAAATTAGAAAAGGTAACTTATAGAAACTGGTCAGTAGTTCTCAGACCCAGTTATATATAAAAATCATCTGGAAATCAGAATTGTTGAAGATTGGGCAAGCATCTAAGTTTCTTAAAAGTCCCATCATTGCCCTGGCCAGTGTGGCTCATTTGGTTGGAGTGTCATCCATGCACCAAAAGGCTGTGGGTCTGATTCCCAATCAGGGCACATACCTGGGCTGCAGATTCGATCCTCTGCCAGGGTGTGTACGGGAGGCACCCAATAAATGTTTCTTTCTCACATTGATTTTTTTCTCTCTCTCTCCCCTCCTTCTTCTCTCTAAAATCAATAAGAAGCATATCTTCAGGTGAGGAAAAAAATTTTTTTAAACTCCCATCAGTGATTCTACTGCATGGTCCGAGTTAGGACCACCTCACCTTAGTGACAAGAGGAGACTCACTGACAAGGAAAACCAAGGATGATGTGGAAATGTCAACAGATGAAAATCAGGGAACTCCCGTTACAAAAGCATAAGGGTAAATGAGACACAAACAAAATGTTATACCACCCTTCGGTTACGTTCTGCCAAGCCCGAAATGTTCCCTGAAAGACAGAACTCATGGAGACAGCCTGCAGAAAACTGACGCTGGCTGGAGCTGCTGTCACGATGACATCTCGTGTTTCATGGAGATTAAGGATTTGTCATCATTACAGAATATAACACTTTTAAAAAGTAGAAAACACATAGCAGGCAAACATAGAGCAAAGGTAAACTCAAGAATTCAGATTTCATCCAACTTTTCCTTAACTGTATTTGGAAAAATACTTCAGTGAAGTCTATGGAGAATTATTTTCTGTAATCGGCTTCCTGACTAAAGAAAGGCCCTTTCAATCCCGAGTTCAGCTGTCTATGACTAAGGGTTGAAGCATTTGAACAATTTTCTCCTCAGAATACTCTGTAAAACTTGTGGTTTATTGCTGACTTTTCTGGAAAGAGTTGGCTCTCAGAAATCTGAATTCAAGGGGTACCCTAAAATCCCAGATGGTACCTTTTTGTCAAAAGCCACATGTGCAGGAATAAAATTTGGAGGTGCGGCCGGCTTAGGTTCGCCGTATGTTAGAAGTGGTGCCTTATTGGCCAACTCATCCAGGTCAGCCTGAGACAGCTGGTTGACCTGGAGCCGGTCCCCGCCTATCCCAACGGTTGGACGACGAGCCATTGCATAGCCATGCCTGTAGTTCAGTGTCTGGCTTCTATGAAATGCTGTTTTCTGAAGAGGAAAAGAAGTATGTCATTAATGAAGTTTGTTAGGCAAAAACTTTCAAAAATATTGTAACTTAAACCTTTGCTTAAAAACATCACAAATCTTCTACCAAAAAGTATACCTATATTATAAAGTTCTCATATTTTAAGCTAAAACACTGGGCCAGAAACAAGGAGGGAAGCAGCATCCTGAGTTTAAAACATAAAGCCCTGTTCCAGAACACCCAATTAATTACCAGCTCACTTCTTACAAGGAACAAAAATATTCTTAAAATAGTAATTTTTCACTAGTCTTCCCATATTTTTCATCTCATCTAGTGGTCAGAAACCTTGGGATCTAGAATAGCTGGTTCTGTGAAATCAATTTCTAAAAATGAAAGACCTTTCTTGTTACACCAACACTGACACATTCACACAACTCTTTGGAAAGAAAGTAGATATTGTATATTTAAAGTCTTGACCTCAGTAATTCCACTTCAATCCTTTAAGGGTATAATCCAAAATTATTAAAAAAAAAACACTATGCCTAAAGTTGACCATTATGTTAATTACAATAGTAAGAACATTGAAATACTCCAAAAGACAAACATATGAGTAAATGATGGAAAACTCAGTGGACTATTATGCAGTCAGGAGTTGAGGGAGCAAGGTTGATGAGGTCGATGGGGAAAAAGGAGGCAAAATCTGTAGTGCTTTAAACAATAAAGACAAATTTAAAAGTAAATTTAATTTAATTTAAAAATAAAATACTGCCCTGGCCGGTTTGGCTCAGCAGTTAGATCGACGGCCTGCGGTCCAGAGAGGCCCGGGTTCGGTTCCTACTAAGGGCGCGTACCTCAGTTGCAGTTTGTCCCCAGCCCTGGATGGGTCATGCGGGTGGCAACCACTTGATGTGTCCCTTTCATGTCAATGTTTCTCTCTCTCTCTCTCTCTTTCTGTCTCTCCCACTCTGAGCAAAAGATGGAAAAATGTCCTTGGGTGAGGATAAAAAAAATAAAAATAAAATACTGGTTTTAAAGACCATGTGGCAATCTGGGGGAAATGTTTTATTTAATAAGCCCCAAAAAAGCAGCATATGAAATTATATGTGTACTACAATTACAAGCATGCAAACACATGCCTGAAAAAAGACTAGATTTGGTGAATACTCTGTCTCTATTATACATTTCTGAATTACGATGACTTTTTCCCCAATGAACTAATTTTTATAGGTAATTGAAAAAAACCCACAAAAGATTAAATAAAAAAGAAAAAGGTGTAAGTAAATAATTTTGAAGATAGATGAGACCAAAATGGTGACACAGGAGGCCCCAGAGTCCTCATGCCTTCACAAAGATCAGTGATTTGACAACTATCCATAAACAACAGCTCTTGCTGACACTGCAGAATGCCTACTGCCTACAGTGCTTGTCAAGAACTACACAGTTGTCAATGCTGTAGACCCCAGGGGCCTGAGCTGAAGAGACATCATGCCCACCCACAACCCTGCCAGACCCAGTACTACTACACACTCCTACATTTGGTGCCCTGCTGCACTAGACCCAGAATCACAGCATACTTTGGCATACCCCCACCAGCAGGTGAAACTATTCCTTTACCAAAGTCAGTCCATAAAGTTTGGCAGAGGTAACTGCTTTATCAAATGTGAAGACACCTGTGCAAGATTACGGGGATCATGAACAATTAGGAAAACATGATCCTACCAAAAGAATACAATAACTCTATAGTAACTAGCCCCCCCAAAAAAGAACCAGAAATTTCCTGATAAAAAAAAAAACAAAACTCAAAATAATTGTCTTAAAGATGTTCAGAGACCTACAGGAGAACATAGACAAACGATTTAACAATATCAGGAAAACAATACAAGAACAAAATGAGAAATTCAGGAAAGATAGAAATTGTTAAAAAGAAACAGATTTGGAGCTGAAGAATACAATGACTGAACTGAAGAATTCAATAGTAGTTTTAACAGAATACTTGAATAAGTTAAAGAAACTGTGAGCTAGAAGACAAATCATCCAATCAGTAGAGCAAAAAGAAAATGAATGATGAAAGTCTGTGGAACTTACAGGACATTAATAAGAGAAATAATGTATGTATATTGGGAGTCCCAGAAGGAGAAGATAGGGAGAAAGGGGTAGAATGCTTACTTAAAGAAATAATGGCTGAGAACTCCCCAAACCTGAAAAGAGAGTGAATATCCAAGTTAATGAAGCTAATAGGTCACCCCAAAACTTCAAGCCAAAATAATCTTCTTTAAGATACATGATAATGAAACTGTCCAAAATCAAAGACAAGTAATTGTCAAAACAGTAAAGGAAAAAATAAAATAAAATAAAATAAAATAAAATAAAATAAAATAAAATAAAATAAATCTCTCATACAAGGGAACTTCCATAACACTACCACAGATTTCTCAGCAGAGACCATGCAGGCCAGGAGAGAATGAGATGATATATTCAAAGTGCTGAAGGACAGCAACTGCCAACCAAGAATATTTTACCCAAAAAAGTTGTGCTTCAGAAATAACGGTGAGATAAAGACTTTCTCCAATAAACAAAAGAATTAATCACCACTAAACCTAACTTAAGAGGTACTGTAAGAACTTTTAAAAGCTAAAATAAAAAGGCATTAATTTGTAACATGAAAATATATAACACACAGGTAAAGGTAAGCATATAGTCAGATATAGTACCCTAATACTGTAATATGGTGATGTGTTAACACTTGCTTTTAGTATAAAAGCTAAAGGACAAAATTATTAAAAATAGCTATAGCTTCAACAATTTGTTAATGAATACAGAATAAAAAAATTTAAATGTTGACATTAAAAACATATAGGGAGAAGAGCAAAAGGGTAGAGTTTTTGAATGTGATAAAAATTGAATTGTTATTAGTGTAAAATAGACTGTTATATATACATGCTTTATGTAAGCCTCATGGTAACCACAAAGCAAAAACCTACAGTGGATTCACAAAGGATAAAGAGTAGGGAATCAAAGCACACCACTATAGAAAACCATTAATTTATAAAAGAAGGCAGCAAGGGAGAAATAAATGAACAAAGGAATGACAAAATAGCCATAAAAACAAAAGATGGTATTAGTAAGTTCTTACTATCAATAATTACACTACATGTAAGTGAATTGATATCTCCAATCAAAAGGTAAGCTGGATGATTTTTTTTTTAAAGACCTAACTATATGCTGCCTGTAAGAAACTCACTTCAGCTTTAAGGCCAGACATAGGTTGAAAACGAAGGGATAGAAAAAAGATATTCCATGCAAGTAGAAACCAAAAGAAAGCAGGGGTATCTATCTGTATTTATATCAGACAAAACAGACTTTAAGCAAAAAATAGTAGTGAGAGACAAATACAATCATTATATAATAAGAAGGTCAATTTATCAAGAAGATATAACAATTGTAAGTACTAATGCACCCAACATCAGAGCACCTAAATATATTAAGGAAATACTAACAGATCTGAAGAGAGAACTATCTTTAAAAAAAAAAACAAAAAAACACAAAACCAGAACAATAATAATAAGGGACTTCAATACTCCATGTTCTTACTTTCAACAATGGATAGATCAGACAGACAGAAAATCAACAAGGAAACAATGGGCTTGAATTATGTTGAGATCAAATGAAGCTAATGAACATATACAGAACAATCCAACCAACAGTCTTCTCAAGTACACATAGAACATTCTTCAGGATAGATCATATGATAGGTCACAAAACAAGTCTGAGCAGATTTTAGTCATACCAAGTATCATTTCTATCCACAATGATATGAAATAACAGAAAACTGGAAAATTCACAAATATGTTCAAATTAAACAAAACACTCCTGAACAACCAATGGGTCAAGAAATCAAAGGGAAATACAAAAAAATACCTTTTAACAAACAAAAATAGGAGCACAACATATGAAAACCATTTGGATGCTGCAAAAGCAGTCCTAAAAGGGAATTTTACAGCAATAAATGTGTATACTAAGAAAGAAGAAAAATCGCCCGGCCGGTGTGGCTCAGTGGTTGAGCATCGATCCATGCACCAAGAGGTCACCAGTTTGATTCCCAGTGGGGACACATGCCCAGGTTGTAAGCCAGATCCCAGTCAAGGAGCATGCTGACGGTGACCAATCAATGTTCTCTCTCATTGATGTTTCTATCTTTCCCTCCCTCTCCATTCCTCTCTCTCTAAAAATCAATTAAAAAAATATTTCTTTTTAAAAAGAAAAGAAAAAAAATCTATATTTATGGCATCATAAAGATACTTAGACTTATCAGGGTAATTACTTTGTAAGGTATATAAATGTCCGACCACTATGTTGTACATCTGAAAATAATATAATATGCATTCCAACTGTAATCGAAAAATACATTTTAAAAAAGAAACAAATCATTTCAAATAAACCACCTCACATTACACCTCAAGAAACTAGAAAAACAACTAAGCACAAAATTAGCAGAGGAAAAGAAATAACAAAGATCAGAGCAGAAATGAATACAATAGAAACAGAAAAATGATAGAAAAATCAACAAAACTAAGAGCTGGCTTTCTGAAAAGATAAAAAAATTGACAAACCTTTAGGTAAACTAAGAAAAAGAGAGGATTCAAATAAATAAAAACAGAAATACAAAGGATCATAAGAGACTACTATTAATAGGTATATGCCAACCAACTGGATAACTGGAAATAAATGAATAAATTCCTAGAAACATACAACCTACCAAGACTGAGTCAAGAAGAAACAGAAAATCTGAACAGATCAATAATGAACAAGGAGCTTGAATCAGTAGTTAAAAATCAACCAAGGAAAACCCATGATGTTTTCACTGGCGAATTCTACCACACATTTAAAGAATTCATGTAGTCCTGGCCGGTTTGGCTCCGCAGTTAGAGCATCAGCCCACAAATGGGGGAGTCCTGCATCTGATTCCTGATAAGGGCACATAATTCAGTTGCAATATGTCCCTGGCCCCAGTTGGGGTTGTGTGGGTGGCAACCAATTGATGTGTCTCTCTCACATCGATGCTTCTCTCTCTTCCTCCCTTTCTCCCTCCTGCTCTATCTAAAGATAAATGCAAAAAATATCCTTGGATGAGGATGAAAAAAAAGGGAGGGAGGGAGGGAAGGAGAGAGAGAGAGAGAGAGAGAGAGAGAGAAATCAAGCAAATCCTTCCCAAACTCTCAAAAAAAAACAAAAAAAAACTGAAGAGGAGGGAACACACCCACATTCATTTTATAAGGTCAGCATTACACTAATACCAATCCAGATAAGGACACTACACAAAAAGAGTACTACAGACCAATATCCCTAATGAAATAAGATGTAAAAATTATCAGTAAAGTAATAGTAAACCAAATTCAACAGCTTATTAAAAGGATTATATACTATGATCTAGTGGGATTTATCCCTGAGATGCAAGGATGGTTCAACACATACAAATCAATAAATGTGATATACCACATTAATAGAATGAAAGATGAAAATAATACGGTCATCTCAATAAATGAATAAAAATACAGCATCCATTCAGGATAAAAACTCTCAACAAATTGAGTGTAGAAGGAACATACATACCTCTACATAGTAAAGGAATATACATAACAAGCCCACAGATCGCTAACATTACATCCAATTGTGAAAGACTGAAAGCTTTTCCTCTAAGATCAGGACCAAGACAAGGATGCTCCCTCTCACCACTCCTATTCAACACATTACTGGAAGTCCCAGCCAGAGCAATCGGACTAGAAAAAGAAATGAAAGGCATCCAACTAGGAAAGCAAGAAGTAAAACTCTCTTTGTTTGCAGATATTATGATCTTACATTTAGAAAACTCTAAAGACTCCACCAAAAAAAAACTGTTAGAACTAATCAACAAGTTCAGTAAAGTTACAGATACAAAATCAACACACAGCAATCAGTTGTGTTTCTATACATTAACAACAAAATATCTAAAAAAAAAGTAATAAAGAAAACAATCCCATTCACAATAGCATGAAAAACAATAAAATACTTAAAAGTAAATTTAACCAAGGATGTGAAAGATCTCTACATTGAAAGCTACAAGACTTTGATGAAAGAAATTGAAGACATAAACAAATAAAAAATTAACCTGTGTTCATGGCTGGAAAATGTAATATTATTAAAATGTCCATAATACCAAAGCAATCTATATATTCAATCTCTATCAAAATGCCAATGACAGTTTTCACAGAAAAAAAAAAAAAAACAACTAAAATTGTATGGTGCCACAAAAGGCCATGAATAGTTAAACAAATGCTGAGAAAGAAAAACAAAGCTGGAGGTATCATGCTTCCTGATTTCAAATTACAGTGACCCTTGAACAACACGGGTTTGAAATATGCAAGTCCACTTATATGTGATTTTTTTTGGCAATTGACCCTTGTGGTTCAAACCAGTGTTGTTCAAGAGTCAATTCTGTAATTAGGATGCCATACATGCAAAGTGCCTAGTATAGTTATATGAAAATTTTCAACCATGCAGGACCTATGTGCCCATAACCCCTGAGTTGTTCAAGGGTCAACTGTAGTTTGTATTTTATAAAGCCATAGTAATTAAAACAGTGGTGGTAATCATTTTGCAAAATATGTGTATCAAATCAACCAGCTGTACATTTTAAATTTATACAATGTTATATATCAATTATATCTCAATAAAGCTGAAAGAGAAAATAAAAATAAAAATTAGAGGTTATTTGATGGAACAATTTTTCCTTTCTCTGCTTTTTGTAATGGTAAGTTACTTTCAAAATCATATGTGTATGTATACACACACACAAATGCACATATATGTGTATATATATACATATATACATAAAATTTAGAATAAGTCAAAAAATATATTTTTTTATGAAAATGGCTTACTTACCTACCTCTTAATTTGTTTGCAGCCCAACCTACCACCTTTCAAGATCTGTACTAACATAAAAGATACAATAAAGTAAACTTATTTGGCTATAAGAGTTATGGATTATGGATTTTTTGAAGGTCACACATTCAGGGTCACAAGTCAGCTGACGAGAGCTGCTCTAGATGCATAACACACATGACATAGAACAAAATGGGCTGAGTCGACTTTTGCCTAAGTAATTGATATAACTTCAAGCTCCTCCTCTTCTACCTCTAAAGACAGAAGAAACATCAGCTGCTTTATTTTCTTTCCCTGTTTTAGACAGACACCGCTCTCATCACTCAACCTATGACCTTTATTCGTGGATCCTCACAGGCACCCCAAGCAAGGCGGCCTAAGGCCTCCCCATCCTTCTTAGTCATTACGTTTTTGTTTGTTTGTTTGTTTGGTTGGTTGGTTTTTACTGTAAATAAGCATGGTTTACTTTATTGTAAGAATCCTACACATAATACATATAACTGTAGGGTTCCCCAGCACACCTCAATAATGTGTTAATGGACTGTTTACATTTGCTAAAGGCTTCCCAGCAACAGCAGGCTATTAGTAAAATATGGTTCTGAATGTTGTGAGACTATACATATGTAGACCTTCAGTGCTGAAGACAGTAACCATGTTGTTCAAATTTCAAATAAGGCAAATCAGGTAATATTTGCCCAGTGTATTTAAAATAGGAAATATGCCCAATGCATAGTGGATCTTGTAGTATGGCAATACGCTCTTAGAGCCTGGCACCTCCAGTCCACACCTCTGTAATCGATCCCCCGTATCAACTCAACCCTGCCTTGTGGGTAATCCACACTCACTAACACCAAATGCATAATCTGCTCCTATACAGGGCAGGAACGTGCCTACCATGCATAGAAAAATCTATAATGCTGTGTCTTAATTAATGCAGGAATAATGTGAAGAGGAGATTCACAATCCAAATTCCCTCACCAAACTTGTGACCAAGGAGAAGGACTTATAGGTTAAATTATTAAACTATATAATATAAGTTGTTATTGTCTCATGTATGATAATCAGCCTACTGAATCTCAATATTGATATTCCGACATATATTTCAGTAACCCTATTAGAATTAACACAAATATTAAATAATTTTGTCAAGAGCTAAACTATGTTAGGAGAAAAAGGGCTTTTGTTTCTCTTCAATTTTGTCTAGAAAATGCAATTAAATACACTTAAAGTCAGGAAAGGGCAAAAGAAAACCAGAACACAAATATTTATTAAAATGTTGGAGCAAAAATAATAGCACTAACAGTATAAAAATTAATCAGCTGTGGTGGTCTTGAAGGAACTGGAATGTAATTATGTTCTACAAAGCAGGGAAGGGTGGTTTGGGAGGAAGATGAACCTGTGTTGAGAGTCTGCCTTTAAAATAATCAATTGTGAAAGAAGATAAAAAAGGAATGGGGAGAAGGTGGGATTAAATTATAGAAAAGGCAGAAGTGCTGGACAAAAAAGAGAAGGGGCTGGGTAGAAGAATAAATGAGAAGGGTGCATGCAGACTGTGGAAAAGAACCTGGTGGAAAGAAGATGAAGGGAAATGACACTTAAGAGGGAATGGAGCTGGGAGTGAGAAAGATTACTGGGTCTAGGATACAGGAGAAGGAGGAGGCAGGGAGAGAAGGATGGGCCTGGGGTGAAAGGGTGGATGGGGCTGTGCCAATGAGGATGACGGTATAGAGATGCTGGGAGGGAGTAGGGGCCGAGGCTAATGGGGAGGTGATAAGAGGTTGAGGATGGATCTGGGAGGAACCAGTGTGGGAGGATGGGGCTGGGCAGGACCAGTGTGGGAGGATGAGCCTAGGAGAGGACCTACACAGAGAGCTTGGGAGTAGGGTGGAGAAACTGGCATCTAGAGGGAGAAGAAGCAGGGGCTAGAGCAGCAAGGGAGAACTCGGCTATGCCCACAGACTGAACGAAGGAGGCCAACAGGCTGCCAGGGCGGAGTGCTGAAACTAGAAAGTGATGGAGAGGAAGATAATGGATATGAGAGACCGGATGATGCTGAGTGGGGAGGCCTACAGAGTTGCGGCGGAGAAGAAAGAACAGGGTCGGGGCAGAGGGCGGGTTTGAAGGGAGAGGACAATTTTGGGTGGAGGAGGAAGGAGTTGCACTAAGCGGCGAGGGCGGGGCAGGTAGAGATAGGTGAGGGTTGGGTGGGTAGGTCCTCACCGTGGAGTCCGTAAAAGACGTGCCCGGGAGAAAGGGAAGGCCGTGCTCTGGGTTGGACATCATCGCATCCGCTACGCCGCCGCCGCCACCACCCCAAGAGGGTTTTGTCCTCCCTGGTTGCCCGGGCGACGAGCTGCGTTCTCTGGTCTCCGGACGCTCCATGGTGAAGCCAAACAGCCAAAGCACCTGCGAGTGGAGGGCGGGGCCTGAGGCGCAAGAGTGACAGGTCTGCGACCCATAGGCGGGACTTCGCGTTCTCGCGGGAAGATGACGACAATGACTGGAGCGTGGTTGGTGAGCCTTGAGGACTGGCCTCGCCCTTCTCGGCCTCCTAGGCGGGGAAGGAGGAGCTGGTGGGCGGGGTGGAGGGTGTGATGGAGAGGAGACTAGTTCACGCAGCGAAGTGGGGGGGGGGGGGGGCCCCCCCCCCCCCCCCCCCCCCCCCCGCGCGCGCGGAATGGGCCCTTAGATAAGTTAATCAGAAGGGAAGTTCCTGCCTTCCCCCCACTCTGTCCTCACCGCGCCCCGCCGGCGTCCTGCGCTCCAGCGCTCTTCGCCCCCAGCCCCGGGGAGCGGGCTCAGGTCCCAGTTCACACTGAAGTGTCCTGGACAGAGTAGGAGCAGGGATGTAAATTACACAGCGTGGAGAATATAGTCCATAAGCAATCTCTAATAACTATGTACTGTCCAGGTGGATTCTTGAAATACTGGGGGACCACTCTCCACTCTGTAAAGTACACGATTGTCCATGCTGTACACCTGAAACTGATACAGGGTAATACTGAATGTAAACTGTCACTGAAAAATGATTTTTTAATAATGTTACCTACCATGATGGTGGTAGGAGCTGAGGATTATTGATGGTTATCTTTCTGTTGCTTAAGGGTGTTCAATGAACCAATGCAACCATTTTGTCCCTAATCCTTTCCACAGTCACTTTTCTTTATTCTACTGTCAGTCTCTGCAGTTCTGCACCCTCAATTCTTGCAGGCAGGGCCTTGCGTATTTGCTTCAGGACACTCAGTCTTGGTTGATTGAAAACCTACACTCAGTCTTGGTTGATTGAAAACCTACACAGCGCTCTTCTCAGTTCTGATTTCTAGTTTATGCCTACCTGGGATAGCAATGAAAAGAGCAGAACCAGGAGAAACACATCTCCTTCAAAGAGAAAACTAAGTCAGAAGACTACCAGTGAGTGAGGGGATATACTCTAAGGACCATAGGTATTCCCACCTTTGGTGCTTTTAACAAAACTGGATTGAATTATTATCCTTTAAGAGAAAATGTAACCCTCTTCCTGAAACATTTGCAAAATATTCATCAGCACCAAGGAGCTTAAGAATAAAAATAAAAAGCAAACAAAACCCTGGTGCCCAGACATTGGATTCATTAGTTCTGAAATGGAGCCCAGGAACCTGATTTTTTATAACAGCTGTTTCTGTTGGTGTAAACAATAACATAAATGACCCACTTTAAAATGGAGCTGGATCTGCCACGTCAAAGGAACTGCCTTGCAGTCTTATGTCTCAAATCTTTGGAATGTTAACCAGGGCAAAATAATCCTTGGATTGGGCCTAAGTAACATCATGCCTTGCAAAAGAAATGTTTGCAAAGATAACAAGAAAGCAGTATTATGACTATTGAACTGCTGACTTACTGGACTGAAAAATTAAAAACACTAAGATTAACATCACTCTGCTATGTTATCTGCACCAATAGAAATACTTTCCTTCTATTGACGTAATTGTTCCCTTGCCTTTCTCATAAACATCCATTGCCTTTGTCTCCTTGTTGGAACATTAGATGGGCTTCTGCCTCAATTAATGATTACTGAATAGCTATTCTTATTGATCTCAATAAATGCTTGTTTTGTCTCACTTTGAATGGCCCTTTTATTTTTTGGCTAACGATAATGAGCTAACTTAGGAACATGCTAGAGTACCAAGCCTGACACTATCATCATATCTCCGTGTCATGAATAGGTTACTACCAATACAGACAACAGCTTTAGTTTTATTGCTGCTTGTCAGAGCAAATCCTCATTGAATTTCACTAATGAGTGTGAGCTCAGGGGGCCCAGGACATGACTCCACCAGTGGCACCTGAAGCATTTATTGGTGGCTGTCTGCCACACCCTGCCCAGAGATTTTCTCTTCTACTAACTATCCTCTCTCCTCACTATTTCTGTTTCTTGTTCTGTCCCCATTTTTAACCTTTTTCCATTTTAATTTTCTATTGGTATATTACCTTAATGCAGGCATTAATACATTTTAAAAATATCAATGAATTGATTAGCATTGTTGAAATTACTGAAAACTTTTAAGTATCTGTCCACTGTATTATATCTTAGTCACTGACCTAGGATGGGAGCCAGCCACTGGGAGAATATTGCAAGTTGGCAAGTTCAAACTTCAAAGAGAAGATGCCTCTCCCATTTCTTTCTACCTCATTGATGCTGGGTACCCAGAATCACTGATAACTGGAATCCCCGCTGAGTCTTCATGACAACCTTAAACCCTGACCAGTTAGTTATACGATCCCTCTCCCTGCTCTCTTAATAAAAGTAAATCCATGGTGTTAGGATACACTTTGAAGAGCCCTTCTGGACTAAGTGCATGGTTGCATCAGGGTCTAAATCCTCTGAGTTGGTTAGGGAAGAAGCCCATGGGAGCTGGTAAGGGGAGCCATGCCTAAGCCTATTATCCATTGTGTCATGTTTCTATTCGAGGAGTGCCCTCTGCTCAAAAGCCTTTCTTTCCCAGAACAGCACACTAGTTAAATGGTTAACGGAGTGCTTTTAACTACTTTCTGACCCTAGAAAAAGCTTGGTGAAGAAAATTTTTCTCCATCTATGACATCATCAAAATGCCATCACCTCTGATGAGGGGAAGCCAGGCAGTGTTGTATTCGTGCTAAAAAGCACAGGTACAGGGCTGTGAAGAAGGAAAAAACAAAACAAAACACAGGGTTTCAGAACACTGCTTGGACTCTGAGAAGGTTTGGCATGATTAATAGTTTATATCCCATTTTTCCCAAACATGACTACTGATGATGGATTGCAGTCTGAACTCACCATTTCTCACTTTGCGGATCAACTAGGAGAGGGCAGGAACCTGACTACCCCTGTTAGCTAAAGTAGAAAGTGCCATGGTTTGAAGCCTGTGCATGCATAAAGCCTGGACTCAGAAGACTATAGAGACATTGCATGACCTTTGCAGGTTGCTACAAAGCTTGGGAAATGGGAAAGATGGAATCATCAGACTGCTGGGAGGCCAGAGCTGAAAGAGGCCTCCTGCTGGACAACATCTCCCAGGGACTCCTGAGGAGTGGCAGGGGCTACAAGCACATAACCTAAAATAAATATATTTTTAAACAGCATTTTGCCCAGAGCTGGCTTTACCCAGAATTTATTTTCAACTCTGTGACATTATTCTTCAGTACCTAAAAATCACAGGACAAATACCAAGTAGAATACAGGACAAATACCAAGTAGAATACAGTGTGTGTGTGTGTGTGTGTGTGTGTGTGTGTGTGTGTGAGAGAGAGAGAGAGAGAGAGAGAGAGAGAGAGAGAGAGAGAGAGAGTGTTTCTGCACTGGTTTAGTGCTCTACTTCCCTCTGCTGTATAAAAATGGTACAGCATGCTCTGGCCGGTTTGGCTCAGCTGTTAGAGCATTGGCCCTTGGACCAAGGAGTCTCAGGTTCCATTCCCGTCAAGGGCACGTACCTTGATTGAGGTTCAGTCCCTGGCCCTGGTCCGGCTCGTGTGGGAGGCAACCACTCGATGTCTTTCTCTCTCTCTCTCTCTCATCTCTCACTCTCACTCCCCCCCCCCCTCTATCTAAAGATAAATGGAAAAATATCCTTGGGTGAGGATTAAAAAAAATAATAAAAATGGTACAGCATGATTTCTGAAAAACAAACCCAATCACACCTCTAAATTTGAAAAGGTCGGGGGTGGAGCTAGCGTTTATGACTGGAGATCAAGACCTTGCAGGGGAGTGTGCCTGAATCAGAGTGCTCTACCATTCATTTCCATCCCTCTCCGCCTCTGGAATCTCTTACCTAGAAGAGTGCCCAGCAAACCACTTCGATCTTTGCAACGTCTGGATCCACTGTGATTTCCAAGCAGATTCTGGAGCAAATTTAAGACTCACAGAAAATCTTCATTGACAAAATCACTCTATTTGAGTTTAGACTATTTTAGTCTTGCCATGGGCTCTGGCCAAGCTGACAACCTGATTTTCTGCTGCTTTTTCCTCCCTTAAGTCAAATCCTATTCTATGACTTAAGCTGACTCATTTGGAATTCCCTTCCTGGTGAAAAGGCCTATCAACCTTTACCTGAGTCAGCTGTGAGAGCTGAGGGGTAGAGGCAAGAATCCATGTGGGCAGTTGCCAAGGTGGGGCCCAGGAGCACCCACTTCAACGGGGTGGTGTCAGCTGGGAAACATTTTTTTAACCACACTGAAACTGACCTGATTTTTTTTCTCTGTGTTTAACATCCTACCACAGAGGTTCTGCTTCACTCACACACATGATAAGCTGCCCCTCAGTATGTCCTCTGAGTTTATTATTTTATTTTGATTTTTCAGTGTGACCTGTGGATTTATTTTTATTTTTGGACATTTTTATTGATTTCAAAGAGAGGAAAGGAGAGGGAAAGAGACAGAAATATCAATGAGAGAGAAACATCAATTGACCGCCTCCTGCACACCCCCTATGGAACAAGCCCCAAACCCTGGCATGTGCCCTGACTGGAATTGAACTAGCGACCTCCTGGTGCACAGGATGGCACTTACCAACTAAGCCACACCAGCTGGGCTGTCCTCTGAGTTTATGTTTGAGACTAGCAAATCCCATTTCTCTCTTTAGTGAAGTATAGGGGAGGGGAGGGAGGGTGTCAGCCAGTGACATGCAGAGTGTTGAAGAAGGAATGTGGAGGAAAGTGAGAAATTCCCCATCAAAACACATGCAGAGCCCTGGCAAAATAAACCCACCTTAATCTGTGACGAGTGGAGAGAAATCTCTTCTAAGGGCAGAGAGCCCTTACTCTGGTGAGAGACTTCCAGAAGCCCACAGAGAGATGGGTGTGTTTGTATGGAACTCACAGGACCCTGCTTGGAATACAGTGATAGAAATAATGACAGCAATGGCAAGTATACTCATTGAACACAAAGTTTGTGTTGAAGTATATTCCCCATAGGAAAAGTAGTCAGATTCCACGATCATTTGTTCTTGCTTGAAAATTAAAAACACTGAATTGAGATATTTTGCATGTCGCCACAGCTGTCTTTACACCATGGTTTGAGCCCAGAACAGTGCTCAAATTCACTTTAATGAGGAATAGGCTGTATTTAAGGTCTTGAAGGAAAAACTCCCTAGAGAAGTGTGGGGAAATAATCTGAGGATAGTCAGTAGTTCTTCAAACTGGTTTTTAGTCATTGAAAGTTTCAGGTGGTTACAGGTGACCCCTGAGACTAACGTTTGTAATGTGACTAGGTCTGCTTTGGATTCTAGCACAATATACAGTTAAGAATCTCCCCACCGGCCCTGGCTGGTATGATTCAGCTAGTTGGAGCTCCATCCCTGTACACCAGATGGTGACAGGTTCTAGTCTTGGTTAGGGCACATACCCAGGTTGTGGGTTTGACTTTGGCTTGGCCAAAATATCTAGAAATAAAACAAGAACTGCATCTTTAGGTTTATTTCATTTATCAGGGCAAAAAAATATATATCACATTATATTTCCCTCTTGTTTCTTACACTTCGAATTTACACAAATTAGCAGTGGAGAAGTTAGACCAAAGACTTTCTATATTCATTTATTTTTAGTGCTTCAGAATATGGATTCTGGCTTCAGAGGCCCAACCAAGTCTCTGTGAGATTCCATGACATGCCAGCCAGGTAATATTAGGAAAATTGATATATCAGTTTCCCCACTGGTAAAACTGGGGCAATAATAGTACCTGCCTGATAGGGTTGTGTGAGGGTTAAATAAAAGAATCTAAGAAAACAGCTCAGCTAAGGACTTGGCAAGGAGTGAGCACCAGATAATGTAAACTGTTGTTATTATTTTTATTCCTAGTTTACAGATTGTGCTCTGGATGTTTCATTGCCTTCTGCCCAGAGTATTACCCAGAGTACAAACCAGTGTCGGCAGAACAAGGAAACATTCACCGCCTGCCTGGGAGGTGGAATCAGCATTCTGGGCACCTAAACCACGCTCTCTGAGAAGAAACCTGCGGGCATGAGGGTGTCCACAGGGCCAGGCCCACCGATAGAATATCTTGATGATAGCCTGGTTTTGTGTAGATTGCAGGAAGCAGAATTGGCTCTATATTCTAAAGGAAAAGTAATATGCCATTAACAGTTAGTCCACAGAGTTAAACAGCTATCCTGAATTTTCTTGGGCGGAATTCTTGCCCAGCATACCTCATCCTGATGTAAAAGCTAAAGTCCTGACAAGGCTCTCCCAGTCTGTCCTGTCTCCTCTTCTGCTTCCCCACTCTGTTCCTGCTGGCCTCAGGGCCTTTGCACTTCTTTCCTCTGCCTGTGAAAGAAACAGATCAGGCTCCCTTCCTAACTTTGTCTGCAATCTTCCCTGCTCCTGTTTAAAAGTGCACACTCCTCCCACCCCTCCGGCCTATCCTTCTTCCACGCTCTGAATTTCTCCTTGGCACGATCACCTTCTAACATACTTTAGCATTTATTTGGTTCATTGTTTGTCTCACCATCTCATCAACCTCTAATGTAAGTTCCCTAAAGGCAGGGATTTGTGTGTTTTGTCCATCGCTGTATCCCCGGTGCCTAGAACAGGTGCCTATGTTCAGGGTTTGCGGTGTGACTGACAGTGAATCCACACACCAGTTCAACAGGCAGGGCCTGGCCTCCAGTGGAGGTCTTCCTAGTAGAGTACTCTCAGAGGGCTTAATTCAAGAGAGGCATTTCAAAGAATTCTTTCAACACGAGATAATGTTCTCATCGGCTTTGTTTCACGCGCCTCTGTCTCGACCACAGCATGAGGAAATCGCCTACACAATGGAATGTCAGAAGGGAGTGTAATGTAATCATCTTGGTATGCCTGTAAACTGAACCAGGACTGTTGATTTTGTACTTTCTAGAATGCGAGTCTGAGGTTGCTTAAAATGTCTAGTTCCCACTCTCTGGTTTTTCAGGAAGCTTTATATAACACAGCTCATTTACTTATCATCGACAGTATTTTGACATAGACTTATTTTTCTCCTGAAGGTATTTTAGTGATGAGTGCATGGATTACCTTCTTATCTGGTTTTCTCCATTTCCTTTAATAAACATATGTTACTTGAAAATGAGAAATAACCAATGACCTTGGGGTAGGGGGTGGGGCTTTCTACTAAGTCTGCATAACTCCTTTATGAGGCAGAGAAACATTTTTCAAATCCCCTGTTCAAAGTCTCATCAGTTCTCAAAATCCCTGGAGAGCCAATTGTTTGAAGAACTAACCATCCCAGTGAAAGATGAGAAGGCCTTGCATACTCTTGGCAAGGTTATTAATACTAGATGAGTTTCTCATCCAGGGATTCAAAAGTATTTTCAAGAAGCCCCGACTAGAGAGTGAGATTTGACTTTATAATCCAGGCCAACAAGGGCCTGTGGCCAATGGAAATTTGGGGCTTCAGAGAAAACCGTGAGGTCAAAGAATGCTTTACTTGGCCTCCAAGGAGACGGTGTGAAGTCACAGCCACCTGGAAATGATACAACCTTGGCTATTCATGAGGTGTTTAGGATCAAAAGTCAAAATGAGATCAGGTTCAAGTACACACGGGACGTAAAAGCGCTTTACATACTGTAAAGGGCTCTGCGAATATTGGGTGCTGATGCTTCTGATTAGCTGAGCCTTGAATTTATCTGAAGGAAAAATGAGTTTTGAGTTTAAACATTACAACTAGTTGTGTGCCTGTGAACCAGTGATCCCACTGTTTTCATGGAGATCTTTGGGCCTTACCTCACATGATTATTCAGAAGCTCCAACGGATGTGGAAACGTTTTGGAAAGCATGATAGGGTCTGAGGTGTTACTTTGTAGGCTTTGAATTGGTTGATGCTTCCTGGAGTCTAAAATACAGTGTGTGCCTCTTCCCACGAAAACCATGTTAGGTAAGAAAAGCCTATACTTTAGACAAATATGCTTCTAGTTAGTATTTAAATCAATTTTTTTGTTGTTTCAATCCTTACCGGAGGATCTTTTTTTCCACTGAAATTTAGAGAGAGTGGAAGGGGAGGGAGGAAGAGAAACATTAATGTGACCAGCGCCAAGGATCAAACCTATGATCCAGGTACGTGCCCTTGACTGGGAATCAAACCTGCAACCCTTTGGTCAGCGGGCTGATGCTCTCGGTATGGAGCCGCACCAGCCGGGGCTAAATGAAATATTTTTAATGCAATGATTTCTCTTCCATATGATTTCCAAAAAATATTCCTTAAGGAATAAGGTGGGGTTTTTTGTTTGTCTTTAAGGAGGCAGTCAGAGAGCAGCAAGTTGTTTCCAGTTTACCAAGTCAGGAACCTCTACCCATGCTGGGACCCTACATGGCCTTCCCTGAGCATGGGACTTTATGTACCTGGAAGTCTATACTGCCTGTGGAAATGCAGGGTTCTGTGTCCAGATGGATCAAGGATATCCAAGACTGAAGTAAAACACCAGCGAACAGTAAGAAGGGCTGGAGAAGGAGCAGGATTAACAAGGACTGCAGTGGCCATGAGGTGACAGCTTTGCTGGTGGGGAGATGTTTCTAGCCTCTAGGGGGAAAAGGTTCTGGCCCAAAGCAGATCCCAACCTCCTGTGGGTTCGACAGGCCATCTGGCCCCCAGGCTGTGATTGGGGCAAAATGTGGAGCAGGCAACCCCGTTATGGCCCCAAAGTGGCCCAAAGTGGGAAGAAGCTGAACCTTAGTCAACAAACTGCAAACTCTCCAAGGGCAGCATCACTGAGCCAGCATGGTGCCTACCACCAACAGGTGCACAAAAATACCTGATGAATCAGTAACCGGAGCAGTTCAACTATTAACAGTGACAACAGAAGCATTTGCAAGCTGCCTGGTGTCCTTGCTGGTAATAACTTGGTTTGAGCAGGAGAAACATCCATAATTCTACCAGTGGAGCCTTGAGCCAGAGAAACGCTGTCTTCTTGCTGTTATTGTGATAGCACTATAAGTGAAGCCAGAGTAACCTAGAGAATCACCTTCAGTAGTTGAGCATCAACCCATGCACTAGGAGGTTGCCGGTTCGATTCCTGGTCAGGGCACATGCCCAGGTTGTGGGACCAATCCCCAGTTGGGGGCATGCAAGAGGCAGCCAATCAGTGTTCTCTCTCATTGATGTTTCTGTCTCTCTCCCTCTCCCTTTCTCAAAAATCAATAAGGAAAAAAGAAATAGCTATTTAAATCCAACTGTTAGGCTACAAAATCCTTTAGCACTACATTTCACCTGGGATAGTATAACTGTAACTCATAATTTTTAAATTTCAAAAATGTAGCCTATCAATTCAAAATTTTGAAATCTTTAACACTATTATCCATGAAACTAGGAGTATTTATTCAATTAGATTGTAATCCTCAGGGAAATCCAGTCCATAGCTTTTCTTGGGGAAATAGCTGATCTGCTCACAAGTGAGGATTTGTGGTATGTGTGTGCTTGGGGGGGGGGGGGGCGGGGGTTGGAGATGTTTAATTCTTGTATACTTTCCTACTTCCGGGGGGTATAAAGTGCCTGCCCCTACCTCCCAGCAACAATGGCCTAGACAAAACCTTTCTTTCTTTAAGATGGACATTGTCAAAGTAGCCATTGTCAGGGGCTGTGTCAGAGATGTTGACAGTACAACAGTCCGTATACAAACTCAGTTTAATGGTCATTTCTGTAAGTAGATTTATATAAACAGAAGACAGTTCCAATTTTTCCTTGCCAAGCAATCAAGCAAAACACTGGTTCCAACACAATCAGTAGACTGAGATTCTGAGGACCACAGCAGGGCCCTCTCTGAGTAAGATGTAGGCGCCATCTGGAGGGCCTACTTGAAACTACAGCGAAGCAACTGAAGAACCTAATGGTTTTAAACATTAAGGTACAATTTGTGAACAGGTGGGCAACACAGGCAGGAATGAACGACTTTCATTGGTGGCCTGAGCTCTTATTTTTCAAGCTTCCAGTAGAGGGTTGAGAACGTTGTCATTGAGTGAGGTACTTTCAGCCGAGGTGCAAAATGAAACCCTAACATCTGAAGAGTATCAACATCAACTTGTTAATTAAGTATAGGTCAGGAAGTACTAGGCAAGAGGGAAACAGGCAAATGTGTCCCCAGTCTGGTGTGCCCTGCTGTCCCCTCACTCTACTAAGAGCAGGGCCTGAGATAAATCCATCCGGATGTTTATACATACAATGTAAATGATTGCTAGTTTAGTTTTTTCAGAGCATTTATGTTTTAATAGGTTGAAAGTATTAGTTTGAAAGACAGAGAGAACAAGCAGAATTTCCAGTAGATGTCAACTGTTCGAGGGGGTATGGCGGAGAAAGATAATCATCTTTATCAAATACTTCATGATTCCTTTTAAACAAACCAGGTCTGTTCCTTACCAATCCACTCATTTTACAGAAAACATTTTAAAAGAGTATTTAATCCCTCAATAGTCTGAGTAAAAACATCTGCATTTCCTGCATTTATATATTGCTAGTGAGAATCTAGTCCCCTACCTCAATGCTTCTCAAATATCTCTGGTAAAAACATTTTAAAAAAAATTCCCATTCACTTGAGGGACCATACACTGTGTTCATTAAATTAAAAATTTGATGGCAGTATCTATGAGTTTAGTCTGTCTTGTACTTATCTTGTTATGACCATTGATAGCGTGCAGGCTGGCACTGGTCTAACTTTGAAGATCAGTGCTCCACTCTCCTGTTTTCTCCTAAAAAATACCTGCATTTGGCCTAATGATCTCTGCCACCATGACCGCCACAGTTACATTCAAGAGCCTGATGTACATCTTCCTTCCAACTTCTAAAAGAACACGGTCTTTGGATCCACACCAATGAACCTCCAAGCACTTTTCTATTCCCCATTGTAAACTGACCCTCTGTAACGTGTTTGCACAACGCCTTCAACAAGGTTCCAGTTGCTCACTTCATCTGTGGTGAATCTGACCTAGACGTCGGAAGCTAGGGTAGGACACCTGGGTGGCACAGAAGTTCTCATGTTTGAGGATCAACAGAGAAACCATCGAGGAAAACTACATTGCTGACAAGACATACATTTTCTTGAGATAATGATTATAGGAAAGCGTTTGTTGGATTTTCTCTTTCTTTCCTTTCTTCTTTTTTGCCAAATAAGCAGGTTCAAAGAGTCTTTAGATTGATAAGCAGTTCTTCATCTACTGGTTGAAAAGCAACAAATTCTTTCTTTCTTATCCCCATAATCCCAAACTGCAAATTCCACATGGCCATATGTTCAGGAGTGTTCATACATGTCCACGTATAAGGCACAAAACTCACAAATCTCTCAGAGAAAGAAAGAAAACAAAGATTTGAAGACAATAAAATAATCGAGTAATAGAAGATGTTCATCAGAATGGAGGGAAAACAAACCACTTCCCTTTTCAGTGCACAGGAAGCTTACACTGGTAAGAAATGCCCCCTAGGAGAGGGCTCCCCGGCCCACGCAGTCCCGTTCACTGGAGCAGCGCAAACCAGTCCTCAGAGAGGCTGCGTGGCCAGAACACATCCATGGCAAGTACCACCTCTCCCAAAGAAGCTGCTGGGCAGTGATGTCCTAAACAGACCATTCTAGCTACAGGGGACCCAGTTCACCCTTCTCACCCAAAGGAGCCTTCAGGGCCCAACCCACAGTGAGTATACACGCTCACCTGTCCTGAGGCTTGACTATCTTAAGGGTCCGGCTCTAAGATGATGCTTAAGTGCCTGTCTGAGGACCTTGAACTGGGGTAGTTATGTGGGTCCTTCTTGAGGCAGCATATAGTTGAAAGGCTGGACCTAGGGTTCCTCTTCAAATAATTAGAACCCTAGAGGGACCCTTAGAACCAATTCACTCTAACGGCCTTTTCGAACATGCTGGTCAGAATCTGGAGAAGAGTCCCTGGAGCCAGCTCCAGGTCTTCTGGCCTGTAAGGCAGCCCTAATAGATCTCAAGTAATCCTCCAGTCCACAGGTATGAAACAGAAGGGTCCTGAGGTACCAAGCAGTACCCATGCTTGTTGGCTGGGCCTCCTGGTGGCTCCTGGCACTGAACTTTCTAGTACCATTTGCACTAATATTATATGACAATAAGCTTCCTGAATGTCCACATGGATCTAAGCAATTACTGGAAGTATGACTACTGCACAGTCCCATATATTACCAAGGTATGGATGGAAGTGAACAGCACTTTAGAGAAAACAGCCACAGAGATGTCATCCTGAGAAAAGGGTCAGGGTTGGAGTGGGTAAGAGAGGAGAGATCAGGAATCAGATGAACTGAATAATTCATTGTCTGAGGGTTTCACTGAATCTTGAAGATTCTGAATCCTCCACCCTGGACAATCTGAATCCAAAGGAAATTGGGTCCTTGGGTCAATCTATTTAATTACCAGAGACCAGCATAGTAGGAGGCCCTTCCAATGTGGTATGGATCAGCCACCTACTTGTTTTCCAGTCCAAGGTTATAATCCCTTCGGTTCCAGGTCTTGCCCCTGGAGGTCACGGTCAGAAACCCTACTGAACTTTCAGGTATGAAGCTGGTCCTTAACTCAGTGTCCCATGAATCTTAGCCAAGGTCCCTTTCTTTCCTGTGTCTTGAAAGGCTGTGACCGAGACGGAAAAGGAACACTCCTTTTATTGACAACAACTGCAACAACCTAACTCTTGAACCCTTCGGTTTCCCACCGCATATCCTTGGGAATATGCATTCATATAAAAGCCAACTCTTAAAAACAAAAAGTCAACTCCTATTTTCATACCGCATTTCCCCCAAATCATAATGGTGTGCTCCACACCTCACCCCGCCTGCCAACCTCAGGGCTCTTTCTTCATCAGTCTGGCCTTGACTTTGTGCCTCATGAAGGCTGCTGTGGTGGCGCTGCAGGCGACCAAGAAGAAGAAGGACAGACAGGCCATGTAGACAGACAGGGGACTGTGGCGCTGCAGGAAGAGCTCCTGCCGCCCCTTGTAGTCCAGGAGGACGGCTTCCAGCTGGGAGAGCGTGCAGATGGACAGAAACACATGGAAGAGCTGATGCCCTTGGCCCACGATGTCGCAGCAACCCGGGAAGTACTTCTCAGGAACCGGGCACGAGAAGAAGTAGGCACTGACCAGGAAGAAGAAGATCTGGAGGGTGTGGTACCAGGTGGCCTGCTCCTGGCAGCCAGCCAGGTGGCACAGGGCCACTCGGTGCGCCACGGGGCTGATGTCCAGAAGGAAGGCCAGCCCGGAGGGCACCACTTGACATATCTTCTTCATGAGTGGGTAAGGCTTCTGGTAACGATACTTGGCGTAACAACAGCCGGCACAAGACAACCAGCCAAAGAAGGCAGCCGCTGGCAAGAAGAAAAGCCAGAAGTGCTCGTACCAGGCCTGGTCAGAGGTGTAGAAGAAGTGAACCAAGGCACTGCCGTACTGGTAAATGCTCACGCCAATGTAGTCCACAAAGTAGAAGGTGTAGTGGGAGAGCTCCGACTGGGACTGCAGCAGGTGGGCCAGCACGCTGAACAAGAGGTAAGTGACGGAGGACAGGACATAGAGGAGCAGAGGCAGGGTGTTGACAGAGGTCCACGGCAAGGCCTCGGCCTCGGCAAAGGCCCAGAACCGCAGGAGGACGGCCAGGGCCGCCAGCAAGTGCGTCCAGACGTTGACCACCTCGTTGTGTTTCTGAAACAGGCTGCAGAAGTAGTAACGCCACTTGTGTCCCGTGGGGCGGTAGCCAGTGTGGATGTAAGGCTCCCGGAAAAGCTGGGGCACGTCTGTCTCGGGGACGGTGCAAGGCATCTTGGGAAGCCCATTCTCCAGGATCTTGGGCAGGCGGCGCAGCTGCTGCCCACTGACAGACAGGGTGCTCAGGTGCTCCAGGATGGCTGTCGTCATGGCTGCTCCGCACCGCAGGGGAGGGGATGCAACCTAGAGAAGAGGAAAATCAGCAAAAGTGCAGTGAGAGAGGGCCTGAGCTAAGAGAGCAAAGAAACTGAGGATATTCTCTTTTTTAATTATTTTTTTCTTTATTGATTTTTAGAGAGAGGAAAGAAGAGGGAGAGAGAACATCATTTGGTCACCTCCTGCATGCCCTCCACCGGGGATCAGGCCCACAACCGGGGCATGTGCCCTGACCAGGAATCAAACCAGTGACCTCTTGGTGGGTCAATGCTCAACCAGTGAACCAGTGAGCCACACTGGCTAGGCAAGCTGTGGGTTTTCTTAATGAAACGTAGCTTTCTAGTGCAATGGGGGAGGCGGGGAGCTGCAGACAGCATCTCTGAGCCTTTTCTTGTTTTCGTCTGTAGAATGATAGAGTTGGACCAAGATCCTTTAGTACGCTGACATTCTGATTTTATCTCTAGTGCCCACCACAGAGTAAGGCCAAGTCACCGCCTGTAAAATGGGGATGTCAGCCACCCTGTTCTAATATTTAGAAAGTAAGCAAAGGTAACTTTAAAGGCTTTGGAGTTTTCCAGATGCTACTAAAATGTAATCATCAGACAGGCTCTGATAGTATGAAATATTATATTGAAATATAAAAATTACCAATATTGACATTAGCCTACATTTCTACCTAATCTTAAATTATTCACTGGCCACTTAAAAATCTGAAGTGACCAATAGTAACATGAACCTCACAGTAAAGACCAACACATGAATCATCAATGAGGTTGGTTGGTAAAGACCCATGTATATTCTGCCAAATATTTTACAGGTCAAACAAAATTAACATGTGGCCTAAATTTAACATAAACTCTACTTGCAAAGACTATTTTTTGTTATTGTTGTTTTTCAATTTTGTTCTGGAAAGGAGGTAGTTTGGGATTTGCCTCACCTGGGTACCTAAATCTGTGCTCAGTGAATTTTCAAGCCCCAAAATGCTGAACTTACACTTGGCGTTTTTGTTGACAGATAAGCCAGAGAAGCGCGGCGATTATTTCACAAAAATATTTCCTAAAATAGCCCTGGCCGGTTTGGCTCAGCGGTTAGAGCGTTGGCCTGCGGTCCTGAGAGACCCGGGTTCGGTTCCCGCTAAGGGCACGTACCTCGGTTGCAGTTTGTCCCCGGCCCTGGTTGGTCGTGAGGGTGGCAGCCACTCGATGTGTCCCTTCACGTCGATGTTTCTCTCTCTCTCTCTCTGTTCCTCTCTCTCCCTCCCACTCTACCTGCACAAAAATGGAAAAATGTCCTCGGGTGAGGATTAAAAAATATATATATATTAAAAAATATTTCCTAAAATAGCTGCAAAATTTCAAGTGATGTTACTGAGCCAAGAAATGGATTTTTGGATTTTCTACATATCTACAGTTACCTTCTATACTTCCTACTTCCGAAACCCTTTTCCTCAGAGAAGTGCGAAACCTGAATTATTGAAACGCCCCCTTCTTCAGAGCCCTTCGTGGGAGAGACACAGCGAGTGCTTCTCAGGGCACCACTAATTTTATTTAGTGAAGAAAATTTAATCTTCCTACTCATACCTCTCCATCAACATGGAAAAAGAAAAGCTATCTAATCAGGTCTAACATGTAGGGCATGAAAATTGAAGATGTGAAAAAAGTTCAGGGAGACCTGGAGTCCAGCCTGGCTTTGGGCCACTTGCTGGGTAACCTTAGGCCACTTACAGAACTCACTATGCTTCCGTTTCCTGCACCGTAAAACGGGAGTGACAATTTCACACATCATATGGGTGGCTGGGATGGCTAAATGAGGGAATCTAGAATATAAAGTGCTTAGCACCCTGCCCGGCCCAGCATGGGTGCCCCGTTAATATTAAGTACTGCTGTTACTGCTATTGCTAGGAGCTGGGTTCGGTGCTAGGGACACACAGACTGACTGCAGACGCTGCCTGCTTTTCCAGGTCAGCATCCACTGAGGCAGTCAAGCAGGAAGGTCAGGACCACAACATGGGATGAGTGCTCCCCTGGAGGCCAGCACTGGTTACAGCGTCTCTGCGAACACAAGCACAGCAGGACCGGGAGGGGTGTGCAAGCTTCTCCAAGTGACCCCTGCACTGTGTCATGAGGGAAAATCAGAATTCCCAAGAGAAGATGAGGGAGGAAGAGAGCTCTAGGCAGAGAGCAAGGTCAAAGCACTTATGCTAAAACAAGGACCTGTGAGGCCTGGAGCCCCTGAGGAGGTCACACGGTGTGGTCTGAGGTAGGACACTGGCACCAGAGGCCTGAGCTCCAGCCCGGAGCTCCACCTGTGACGAGCCATGGGCTCCAGCCTGGGCTTTTGTCCTCTGAGAAGTCCAGCTACTGATGGAGAAGCTGCCTCATAAGGCTGATGTAAGGACTATTATGACGTAATGCCTGTACATGTTTAACAGATGCTTGGTTCCAAGTCCGCAAACACATCTGCCATTATTGTGACCATCGCCAGTGAGAGAGGCAGGGGCAGTTCACGAGTGGACAATCTAATAATGCACCCCCTGCGTGCCTTGTACCTACATGTACGGTGCCCCTGTAACCTTGGACTGACTCATTTGTTTAGCCAGTACTGACCAGTGAGTGGTTCCCTACCAGGAACAGGCCATCAACTAGTGCTCAATATAAAAACCAGAGAAACTTATTAAGAATTATGGTTTCAAAGACACAGAGAGAGTAGGAGAGAGGAAATTGTCATCAGAATGCCTTAATCCACTTACACACGAACAGAAGAAAAAGCTGAGCAGTGCTTTTGCTGACAGCCAGCAGAGGGACCCAAGAGCATGGAAGTGGACGACTCCAACTGACCTCGGTGGCAGTTGGTGACAGAGTACCTCAGGGGTGAGGGAGGGGGGCACCAGAAGGTGGGAACAAGTGGGGTGCACGGGTCCCAAGATCAGGTGGACCCACTGTGGAGCTGCGTTGCAGGTGGCTGAGAAACGTAATCTGGGGAGCCGGGCTTGCTGGAGCGCTGAGTAATGAAAGTAAGGGCTTTATTCTTTAGATACAGGCTTCTGCCATCTCTGGTGAAGCACAGAGGGAAATCAGATGAAAATACTGGTCCGATGTTGTGGTCTGGTGAAACAGAGGTGAGTCACGGGGGAGCTGAGCTGCACAAGGACTCGCTGGAGGCGCTCCCCGGCATGCCCACCGGCACCGATCAAGGGCGTGTCCATCATCCCTGGGCACTCAAAGCAACGGAGACAAGTCTGCATCCAGAGTTCCATAATCCGTGACTGCACAATTTCTGCTCATTGCTGCATCCTCGAAACCAGGATGCCTAGCACAGTAACAGATTCTTATAAACTGACGACACAACTGAGTTTCTAAAGACTAAAACCTTGGGAGGTTGTCTGCTGGTTGGAACCAAGTCCAGATCAGACTTGGGAGCCAACTGGCATCTGCTGCTTGGAAGAAGAAAGCACAGATCGTGGGGCTGCTCTGTTGTCAGTTTCCAGAAGACCCCGTCTGCACCCTGAGTCCCTCCAGCCCTCAGCTCACCAACCTAACCTCATGGTTTTATGTTGACAGGTCCTTATCAGAAAGTAATTTCCACTTCTCTCTTGCTTATGGAAACTAAACTAGCAAGAGGTTTGTAGAACTAAGAAGCAGAGAAGTATAAGACCAAAAGGATACTCACTTTAACTTCAAAGGGAAAAAAATTGGCAGAATCTTCATTCCCCTCTCAAATGAGGCCTTTTTAAAAATATATATATATATTTTATGATTTTTTAGAGAGAGAGGTAGAAACATCTATGTGAGAGAGAAACATTGATCGACTGCCTCCTGCACGCCCCCTACTGGGGATCAAGTCCGCAACCCGGGCATAATTCCTGACCGGAAAACCCTCTCAGTCCATGAGATGATGATCAATCCACTGAGTCACACTGGCCAGGCAAGGCCTCCTTTTTCAAAGATCCTTAGAATGCAGCTACACTGGTCTCAGGGGCTCCTCAATGCCATCCTCTGGAGTGTGTAACTCAACACCCACAGTGTGACTTGGAAGTTCCAGGGACATGACCTCCATGGCCTCCAGCTCAGGATATGATCACTCTTGTCCCTCAGCAATGAGGGTGATAAAAAGATCTGGGTCCTCTATAAGTGGGGGAATGGGACCTGAATTTCCCTTTGGAAATCTAGGGTCATAAAAAGTTCTAAACTATGCCCTGGCCGGTTTGGCTCAGCGGTTAGAGCGTCCGCCTGCGGTCAAGAGAGACCCGGGTTCGGTTCCCGCTAAGGGCATGTACCTCGGTTGCAGTTTGTCCCGGCCCTGGTTGGTCGTGCGGGTGGCAGCCACTCGATGTGTCCCTTTCACATTGATGTTTCCATCTCTCTCTCTTCCTCCTCTCTCTCCTTCCCACTCTGTACAAAAAATGGAAAAATGTCCTCGGATGAGGATTAAAAAAAAAAAAAGTTCTAAACTAATTATCAGAAAGAGGCAATTAATTCTTAGCCCATCACTTAGCAACTTCTTCCCTTACTCAATTCTCCCTCTGACAGCAGGCACCACAGCTGAAGTGCTGGTACTGCGGTATCATTCTTACGATCGTGTGTGTAGATGTGGGCTTTTTAAAGAATGTACGTGTGTGTGTTTACATAGCTACGTAAGCATAAAACACCTCTGGAAATACATACCAGAAACGGATGATTAGTGGTTTCTTCCAGGGAAGAGGTCTGTGTGGTTTGGATATAAGGGTTGTATGAATTACACTTCAGTGAGCACTGTTTTTCCCTTTAGAATTTAATACCATGTGAACATTTCCTACTGAAAAAAATATAAGTAAAAAAATAAAGATAAGCCCTGGCCAATGTGGCTCAGCGGTTAGAGTGTCGGCCTGCAGACTGGAGAGTCCCAGGTTCGGTTCCCATTCAGGGCAGGTACCTCGGTTGCAGTTTGTCCCTGGCCCTGGTTGGGGTCGTGTGGGTGGCAATCACTCAATGTGTCTCTCTCACATCGATGTTCCCCCCCCACACACACTCTATCTGAGGATAAATGTA